ATTTTCTTTTTTCATCGGCTGCTCTTTACATTGTGTGAACGTTTCATTTTGAATGGACCAACAGAAATAACTCAGAACTACTTGAAATACGTATCATGGTAAGGGAGGAATATATGCATGTAAGATTGTCTTTAAAGTGCCCATATCATGGAGTTTGATGTAGAATGTAAACGTTGTTTAAATTTCAAATCGATCGGTCTGAATTTACTATTTTTGTGGTGTCACAAAAAACAGCACATTTGCATTTATCTGCCTATTCAGCCTGCAGCAGTTTAGCCCCGCCCACTCACACTAAAGTTATAAGGAGTGTTTCAGCCTGGGCTGCTTTCTGAATGAGGCACAGCTAATCAGAACTGAGATTATTTGACTTATATCAGTCTTAAAGGAGCAGTTACAAAAACAGCCTGTTTAATCCTAAGAGATAGAGAGGAGCTCAAAAATGAAGAAATTAATTATGGCTGTAAAACCACACAGATGTAATAAGTGGACCTCAAAATCAATGCAAGAAAAATGTGGAGTATAGTCTCTTTAATATGTGTGGCTGTTGTTGTAATAGTAATATAGTTGTTTTTATGCCATATGAAAACTTCAGTTGCTTTTTACACTGTATGAGGATTTCATAATTATAATAATAATAATCATAATAATAATAATGGTAGTAGTTCAGAATGACATTTTATATTGTTCTGACTTAAACTTAACAAATTACAAAAATCACCAGAACGTTTTCTGTCTTCCTTTAATACCTCCATGGTCATTAAAGGGCCCATATTGTGAAAAAAGCTAACTTTCATGGCCAATAAAGGGCCCATATTGTGAAAAACAACTCTGTAGAAATTAATGGATCCATGTCATGAATAATGAAAACTCCATGGATATTAAAGGGCTCATATTGTGAAAAGCAACTCTATGGACATTAAAGGAAAACTCCTTGGATTTAAGGACAACTACGGTGTGAATATTAAAGGGCCCAAATAATTAAAAAAAACTCTACTGATATTAAAGGGGCCATGTCATGAAAAGCAACTCTGGATATTAAAGGGCAGCTTTGTGGATATTAAAACAACAACTATATTGATATGAAAGGGCTTATCATGAAAAGCAACTCTATTTTGAAAAAAGCTAATTTATGTCACTAAAAAATAATACAGTTTGCTGTAAGGTGAATACTGATTCAAAAGGCACCGTTCACACTGCAGACAGTACAGTCCATAAATAGAAACTAAGCTGCCTAAATTGAATTAGTTGTTTTTGCAATGTCATTAAAAACCAACATATTTGCATATATTCATCCTTTAGCAGCTACGCCCAGCCCATTCACTTTATGAGGATATGAGGACTATAAGCACTGTAACAAAACAGCTTTAACAGGATGACCAGCTCCTGGACATTTCTAAATGAAATTTGAGAAATCAGGACTGAAGTTGAAAGCCCACTAAAGAAATCAAGCTGTTTTATGAAAAGCCGATAATGTTCTCATTATATTCAAAACTAAACTTCTCTTAAGTGCTATTTTTTAAGAGTGAAAAAGGCTTCTCATTGCCATGAGCAAGATGTTTTCTCAGAAAATCGTCATACTGTAACATTAGCATTAGACTTGTGAAAAGCTTCACTGCTTCCAGCTCTTATAAAAGCCACTTATTATGATTGAAGAGAATCACGTAACACAACACGAAGTTCTTATTAGAAACACTAACCAACCCTGAAGACTTTAAGTGGAGTTTTGCTGCTAGTAAAGAGCACAAATATGTTATTAATTTTAAAGAGTGATGATGTTTAGATGAATTGTGTTAGTGTAGCACGATCTGTAGTTGCTTTGGCAGATTATACCATCTTCAGTGCTGGCTAGGTTAAATAACTGTTTAGCAGACTCATTGGGATGCATGTCCCCCCCTGCTGAAAATCTGAAAGCTGTATTTATTTAGCTTGATTTTTTTCATTAAGTAGATTCAAGCCTTTCAGTTACAATGACAGTCAAAAGTGTGAAAACATCAGGATTGTTTTTTACGATCTTAAATACATTTTCATCTTAAGTCTTCAGAAAACAAAGTATATAAATATGTAACCATAGCCAGGGAGGGACTGGCCATCAGGAGGAATGGGACAGTTCAGTCAGTTGGTCCGCTATGTGTGGGCTGCTGAGAGAGTGAGAAAGAGAGAAATGCATGGCCATTTCTAATGCAGTCCTATATAACATGAATGGAGACCACCCGGGACAAATGGCACGTGCTGAATACTGGAGTTCTCATATCTTGACAGATAGTGGACCACTGCTTTCTCAGTGTGTGGCCATTGACCAGTCACACAAATGCCACCACTCCAGAACAAAGTATTACGAGGGTTGCTTGATTAAAAAACAAAAGTTGCTTAAACAAGATGCAAGGAAATGAAGGTATACAATTAATTTGGATATTAAAGTGAGGAAGAACAGGGCCGCAGTGCGAAGGAGTGAGTTAGCCAGTTCATTCTGTCTGCATGTACCCTATTCTGATGGGTTTAGTTAGATAGGGTGGTTGGGTGTTGTAACTTTCCCATTCAAATGTGTCATGTCAGTCATTTTTACAGACGCTCCCACTTCAGTGCAGATTCCACCACCTTTTACCTTCAATAAAAAGAGCAGTAGAAGGTTATAATAAAGGAACATCATGCAAGAGTTATTTTTTAGCTACTGGAGACTGTCTCCGCAACTGGAATTATGGAGTGTAATTCACTTTTACACCACTGATGCATACATGTGCATATGCTGAAGGATACAGAACTGGCAAAGGCAACATCAGAAGTGATGTCAGCTGACAAGCTAACTGACAAGCTAAGTTTGCCAGCACAGCAAAACATCAAGTAAGCGCACACAACACGAGTAAGCCAAATAAGTTATCACTTACTAGTCCAGCAGGAAGAAGGCCTTTTATCTCATTTAGCTAGATTTACTCTTGTCTGGTCTCTTGCTTGGTCACACTCTTCTTCAGTCTCTTTGCAGCCTTTGCCATGACGTCTATACTGGGAATATTAAGCTAACTTCTTCTTATAGCTAGCTGAAGAGCTGTAGTTCTTCGTGTGTGACGTGGTGCTGTAAAGCCTTATGTAGTTCTCACAGGAGGTCTCGTGCCCGCTCCACCAAAGTTACATAGCGCTATAGCAAGTGTTCCGGGCCCAGAGTGGCAATGACAGACACCATTCTCACTATTATAAGTCAATGTACCATTAGAATTATTTTGATGTAAAATTGTAACATAATGTTGCTTTAAATGCTCATACTGCTTTTTAAATGAAGCCAGCCAATCAGTACAGAGCTCATCTATATATACTAGTTTTAAAGGCACAGTAACTGAAACAGTTGTTTTAGTTCCAAGGGATAAAAATAGGTAAATAAATAAATAGATAAAGATAAAAATAAATTACGCCTACTTTTGATACAAAAACCAATGTAAATATCATAAATGGATCTCATGGGGAAAAAAAGGAATATATGAATAATAAAGGTTATGGGTCTGGTTCTGGTTTGAAGGATGTAGAAGAGAAGATCACTATCATTTTATAGCTGATATTTCATAGTTTTACTATTATTATAAAACGTAGACAATAATAAAAATAAAGTGGGCGTGTCTACACATTTTGAGCCGGTACTGAATGTCACATTCCAGTGACCCAAATAAAAATCACATGTTCTGCTGGATGGCTGAGGCATTAGCTGATGGAAAGGAGGTGACTGAGGATATTCTGGGAGGGAAAATTCTTGATAAATGGCTGTAACTGTATACATATCATTTCTGAAGCAACAGCACCAGCTTTCTCTCCGTACTGATGTCTGCACCCCTGTTTCACCCCGATGAAATTAACGTTACAGTAAGCCTGTATGGCAGTGGCTTCAGGCCACTATTTTTAAGGCCACTTGTCAGTTACGCAGGATGCCTATCATGCCATCTTTCCATTTAGACGGAGACGGAGAGGTCTAAAATAGCTCCAAAACGGTCCTACAGGCAAACGAGGACTAGAATTTCATTCTGCAAATCCGCAAAGAGTGCCGTCATAGATATAAATGCTCGCAGTGGCACAAGTAGTATCCAAGTCAAGCTTCTAAAAGTGGGTTGTGTATCAAAAAAAATAATATTTGATGGAATTGAGTAACAATGACATATATTAACACAGTGACAGCACCGAAAAAATTCAGTTTACTTAGGTTAAACATGTACTTATGGATAAAATCTGTTATTGTGCACCTTGTGAACGATGCATTGTTTATTCAGGGAATGCTTAAGGGGAAATTACAGCTGTTTTTCAAAATATCTGCCTAATTAAATGGTTAAGATGTAAACAAAGTAATTCATAGTGTTTTGGTGTGAAATGTTCTGTTCTGGAACAACTAGAAACTAGAAAAAAGCAAGTCAGAGTTGTTGACAGCCTAATTTGTTTTGTGATCGTTTTGAGAACATTTGGGCTGAAAGCTTATGTTTTAAAACACGTTCATGGCAAAGAGATATGTAAGGCAAAAACAAAATGTTTTTCAGATTTACCAACATTACATGTCAGTCAATGAAGACGTGTGTAGGTTCACTGGTGGTTTTGGATAGTAAATAAAATGTCTATATTTGTGTTGTAGACATTGCGACCCCTGGTTCCTGTCAGCACCACTGCAAAGAAATCTGAGTCAATAAGTTTCTCTGCATTTGAACAATTTCACATCAAAAAACCCTGAATGACTTTGTTTACATCTTAACCACTGAATTATGTAGACATTTGGAAGAATTGGTAGAACTCCTCTTTATTACCTTAAAGGAATACTGTTAAAACAGCTGCCCATTGTCCTCTATTGCAAGTCTGTAGGTATTCTGCTCCTTTCTAAGTACAGCAAAATGCATCAAAATTGCCATCTGTTGTGATCAACCATGCAATACTGATGAAACAGATGGACATTAAGTTGAAAAACAATAAAGCATTCCTTTAATGTTGATAAGCATTGATTTGTTATTGATTTTCACTATGTTTTTCCATCTCTGTTGCAGTCTATTGATCCAGGCCAGCAGTTTACATGGGAACACTCAAACCTGGAAGTAAATAAAGCCAAGAACCGGTATGCTAACGTCATCGCCTACGACCATTCACGGGTGCTGCTTTCCGGCATTGACGGTGAGTTTATCACTTTATCATTTTAGCCTTAGCGTTGCAGCTGTTCATTTGTCTGCAGTAGCTGAAATGTTTTTGGAACAGATATTAAATCTGACAATTAATGCAAACACAAGCACATACAGTAGCTAACATTCAACAGATGTCGAATAATTTCTCAATCTGGCATGGTAGGAGATAAATGAATAGCATTAGCTCTATTAAAAAATCTGATTAATTTATTAAACATATTGTCAAGTTACAAAGCCACCATAAACACTTTCAGGCTTGATGGATTATTAAAATAACAGTTGGACAATAAAAACAATTTGCATAATTCTCCAGTTCTATCAGAGAGCCATGACGCTAACATTGCTAACAAACACTACAAGTCAACAGTCACCTAAATCTTGTCTGTAAGTACATTCATAAAACGTCTCTCTACTTGCTCAAACCACATGCGTGTCTTCATTAAGGTCAGACATGTTCACGTCCATGTGGTTTAGGACACTTTACGCTGCTGAAACATTAAAAGTGTCTGCTGGTTCCTGGTGGTTTCCAATAGTCAGTAATGGTATTTTGTGTTTTGCTCATGGGAAACACAAAATGATATCTCATGATATCTCAGAGTAAAGAATTCTGATGGTTGAACAGGTGTTCTGGGACTGATTCCAGATGCCTTTGGTGAACAAAAGTTCACCACATAGCCGAACTCCATTTTAGACAGCCGGTGTTGATGCTGAATGTTGCTAACAAACACTAGAAATCAATAGTCACCCAAATCTTTTCTGTTGTTGTGCCAAAATCCAACACCCCTTTGCATGCACGTCACTCATGCATATGGATGATAGATCACATTTACAGTTTCTCTTGTGCCTGTTTAAAAACATATAAGAAATATATATGAAAATTCAATATCAGAAGTTATGAAATACAGTAGAAATAACCTGTAGCATTTGTTGGCCTGCGTGACGAGTGCACACAAGTGATGTCGAATTTTGGCACAACAACGGTAAAAATTTGGGTGGCTATTAGCATCTAATGTTAGTTAGCAATGTTAGCGTATTAGCTCCAACGCTAAACTAAACAAGTAAAATTTGGGCACCAAACATGTCTTGGTTGAAGGACTACATCCGGGGTAAGTGGAAAACTTCAATTAGCAGAAAGTTAGATTAGCGGTTGCTTTTCAGCTGTTTGTGTTTAATTTGCAGTTCAGTTACTGATATTACCACAGATTGTACTCTTTCTCTGTAATGTGGCTTATAATGTTACAGAATGACCTCATATAGCAAGATGGCTTTTTGCTCAGCGTTTTCCAGGCGGCTCACTGGTGGTTAAGCAGGGAATTAGACAAAATGCCACTTTTCATCGCTCATTTTCACAGTGCTTGTTTTTCTGTCATTTCTTTCTGCCATTATCCTTGGTAAACTAGTTTAGTTGAAAGATGTTGAATCTAGCTCAGTGCCAGCAACAACATTTTCAACAAAATCATTTTATATTAGGCCTAGTCATAATTTTTATTTCTCTCACTTGTTTGGATTATTTGTCTTGCCAAAATAAAAGGCTGTGTGTGTTTAAAATCTGTTCGAGAAGATTAGTTAGATGCTGCGTGCAGAACAGTAATCTGGGTGGTCCGAGGGTGGACCAGCAGTGGCGTACATTGAGCTCGGTGCCAACACTATCAAGCCAGCGGACGATATATGCTTGCTATCTGGGACAGTGGGCCTAAATTGCTTTTTGCCTTTTTGTATGTTGAACTGTTTTTGAATATGATTTGTCATTGTTCATTGTTCTAATATAAACTTATTGTAAAGTTACTCTAAGGATCTGTGTTAAATTAGCAGTGTTGGCTAATGACATTTGACGTGCGATTCAACTTTAAAAACAAAAACACAACCGCTGTTTTGTCTGCCTTCTTGCTAAAAACACATAGCGTACCACCGACGTGCACGCTAAATCTGTGGACACCCACTTAGCAGCTTTTGTTGGTGTTGCAGAGATGTAGCGTCACTCGCAGTGGCATCAGGGACTTCCTCGTTGCATCCCACCAAGCAGCGCAGGCATGTGCATTCACAAAGCCTTCTGATTGAGTTCCCTCTGGCAGGATAGACATGTTTGTGGAAGCGTAGCATAGCACGCTAGCATCTGGAGCTGGGACTTTAGCCTGAGCTTCTGTTTGTTCACTTTTGAAGTGAAAGCGTGTACACTGGAGAGTTTGAGCATGGCACAAAGCTCTATGACGTCAACCGGCCGACTGCTGTTTGTGATTTAGCAGGCAGAGAGTTCGAAAATAAATACTGAAATAAACGCAGAAGGAAAGAAAGCCAAGTAGTGGCACAATCAGAAACATTTCAAACGTTCACGAAGTAAAATCTCTTTACTTGTGGAACCCTTGTGGGCTGCCCTGCTAGTCGACAAATGAGTTCTTTTTCCAGCTTTCAGCCACCTAAACTGGTGATTGCGGGCTGTAGTGTGCTGATTACCTAGCTCAGGTGTGTTGGGAACTGGAACAAACCCAAAAAATTGACTGCCTGTAATGACAGGTGGGAGACTCTTAAATTAACCCGGTTTCCCACCCTCCTTATCTCAAATGTAGCCGATCAGCCAAGACATGTTTGGTGTCTGAAGTTTGCTTCTTTAGTTTTAGCGCTGGAGCTACAAAGCTATAAAGTGTGACACACTGTTATCTATAAACATGGACAATGACTGCTGCTGCTGCTGTTTTTAGCTGCGCTAATGTGCTTCTGTTCATGTTTACAGATAACATGTCATACAGTGTCAGAAAGCACATGAGCAAGTCTATTAGAGATTACTTAAAGGAGAATTCCAGCAAAACATTCTGCAGAAGATAAAGTAAGCATTCATTCAGAATGGTTTAATGTGAAATGCTTCATTGTCGATAAATTTAGAGACTTAGAGTTCTTTACAGTGGTGCTGATAGGAACCAGGGGTCAACACAATGTGTGCAACACAAATATAGGCATTTTATTTACTGTCCAAAACCACCAGTGAACCTACACTACAGTTTTATATGTAATGTCGATGATAGTAAAATAGTAGTAAAGCTTTCACAGGGGACTAATTTGCCTGTATGTACAGCACCCTGCATGTTCCTCTCCATCCTGTACAGAGTAAAAGAATATATCGCTGCTGTCCTCATTTTTGTTGTTTTCCAGTTTTTGACATAATTTGAAAATGCCTGTTGTCCTTTACATTGTGTGTAAATTTCATGATGAATGGACCAAAAGAAATGACCCAAAATTACATGGAAAAAAGTCTGGTTCCATTGACTTTAATGACATTAAAAGTAAAGTAGGTCTTTCCTTCTCCTGTAAAGTTACCATTTTGGAGATACAAGTTTCTTCCAACAACAACGATATGTTTTAGGCCAAGCGTTTATCTCAAAATTATTATGAAATGTCTCAGACATCAGGCACTTTCTCTGATGTAACTTTTAGAGGTGGACGTCTGGTTCCTATCACCACCACTGTGAACAATTCTGATTCTGTAAGTTTCTCTGGAACAGAGCATTTCACACCAAACAACTCTGAATGAGTTTGTTTGCTTTTGTTTATCTTAACCATGTTCTAAATACAGAAATTGTGTGTGAGGTTTCAGGCATGCAGTTAGCACAATGCTAACTGGTGAGGTATTGGCTTCCATTACTTGTAAGCTACATTTCCTTGTAGTTCTGGTGCAAAACTAAAAAAATACTACATTTTGGAGTACATTAGCATTTTTCACAAAGGAGCACACTGGAAATCTTGAGGCATTAGTTATTGAGTATTTAGTTAAGTATTTAGTTATTAGATCATACATCAGCACTTGGGTACAGCTTTGTTAGGTATAAGTTTAGTTTTGGTTATTCTTCTTAGAGGAGAGAGAGGCAGAAAGAGAGAGTCTCTGTACTGCTCCACTGTAAAGGTCAGTGGATATGAAGTCGACCGTTTGCTCTAAGATTTGCAGTCCAGCTCACTGCGGGTTTCCCCCAAATAAGAATTTTATCATTGACATCTGGCTGCGCTCAAACCTGCTCAAGAAGAAATCAGGACAGGTCCAATAGAAACATAACACTGAGCACTGTGGAGTACAATGGGGTTCCCACCTGCACAAAAAAGTAATAAATTATCAATATTATATAAAATACAAAATGCTGTATTTATATTCGGATAACATAGAACAGTATATTTCATGAGGCAGAAATTTCAACATGTGTATTCATTCTAACAGACCAAACCATAATCATTTATCTTGTAGAGCATCATCATTTACACATACCATATTGTGAATTTCAATTTGAAGACAGTGTTTTCATTGCATTTAATGGCAGTGTGACCTGTAAATGATTTAAAAGTCAGTTTTGAATGTGTTATAAATGTCTTCTTTTGGACAGTTATGTTTTAATTGAAACTACTTCTTGTATTTATAAGTCTGGATTAGTAGGTATTTTCAGCAGTGCCATTAACTTAATGAAGATAATAACTAATAAAGCATAAAGCTGGACCGTGAATGTATTTAATATGTGCCATAGATGTTTTAGACAACACTGGAGTCTCTGTTGGTAAGCTAATAGTCATGGCTGAGTCTTAATTTTGTAGTTTATTGGTGAAGCAAATAGATATTGCCTAGACTTTATTTTCAGTGTTGCTTTAAGCTAATTGGTAAAGCTAATAGCCAGAGCCCTGATTTTATGTAACCTAAGGCTAGTCAGTAAAGTTTAGAGTTCAGTTTCAAGTTGACTTAACGCTAATCAATAAAGCTAATAGGTATAGTTAGACTTTGTTTTCTATGTAACCTAAAACTTAAAAGTAAAGCTAAGACTTTTTCAGGCTAACTTAAAGCTAATTGGTAAAGCTAATAAATATAGATATGACTTTTTTCTATGTAACCAGTAAAACTTATAGTATAGCTACATTGCTGAAAAATAACAAAAAAAAACATTACATTTTTCTGTTGGTGGTTTTATAATGTTTTGGCTTTTCTTGATGGGTTGCTATTACAATGAAAAGGATTCTAATGGTTTAACAGTTGACCTGTGGCTGATTCCAGACATATTGGTCCATTTTCTGACTCTAAAGGTGTTCTACAGGAAACAAGTGGTATCTAATGGTAACCATTAAGTCAATTCCCATTAGCAAGCAAGATCATAAGATTTTTTATCCTATTGCTTCTAATGGCCTTTTTTCAGCAAATTGAGACTCTATTTTCAGGTTAAATTAAAGCTAATCAGTAAGGCTAATAGGTATGGCTAAGACTTTTATTTTCCCTGTAACTTAAAGGTGATCTGTAAAGCCAAGACTTTATTTTCAAGTTAACTTAAAGCTGATTGCTGAAGCTAAGAGGTATGGCTAAGACTTTATTTTCTAGGTGACTTAAAGCTAATCTGTAAAGCTAATAGATTCAGCTAAGACTTTATTTTCAAGCTAGTCTGTAAAGCTAATAAATGTAGAAAGACTATGTTCTTTAAAGACTGTGTTGTTTAAAACGAATCGGTAAAGCTAACAGGTATGGCTGAGCTTTAATTCTCTATGAAACAAAGCCAAACATTAAAGCTGAGACTTTATTTTTAGGCCACTTTAAGCTAATCACTAAGGTAATAGGTGCGCTAAGACTAATTTCTAGTTAGCTTAAAGCTAATCTGTATGGTTAATGTTTTGTTGTTCCAGTGCTAAGATAGTAGATCCTGATTGACAGGCGAGGCGGTTCAGTTCTGCTCCTCATAACCTCAGCCTGCTAATTTATGCTGGACACCTTTTTGTTTTGCAGCATGTTTCAGTTCGGCGATGTTTCATTTCGGTCGCTGTTACGTTTAGAAAGGAAAAGCGAGCTTAATTGTCTTTATCCCCTGTCCATCATCCTGAAGCAGACGGCTCTAGCAAGTGAGAAAACGACGGAGGAGTGTGCAAGAGGAGAAGGATGGAAGGGAGAAAAACCTGCTTTGAAAGAGCTTATATCCAGTTTTGACTCTTTTTCATATTCAGCTGAATAATTTACCTGAGAGAGAGAGAGAGAGAGAGAGAGAGAGAGAGAGAGAGCGAGAGAAGAGAGAGAGTGAATGGGAAGCAGAGAGGTAGAGTAAGAGGAAAGAGAGAGAGAGAGAGAGAGAGAGAGAGAAAGAGTGAATGTATAGGAAGCAGAGAGGTAGAGTGAGAGAAAAGAGAGAGAGAAAGAGAGAGAGAGAGAAAGGAAAGGAGAAGGAGCGCGGGGGCGCCGTGGAAACGCGTTGAGCAGACAGATGAGCTTTATCTCGCTTTAGCATGTGTTAGCGCAGCTCTAGGCTGCCAGTCCGCCAGCATTGACTAGCTGTCAGCCTGCTTTTCCTCGCGGATTGGAAAAGACCACACAGCTTTCATTTCCCCACATCAGAGAGGAGAAGGAAAACGCATCTGCACCTCGTGCTCCCTCCCTGCCCCCAAACCATCACTCCGCTCCTGTTTTTCACACTAACTTTCCAGTGAAAAAGTGAGAATTTACAAAATACAGCAGCAGCCAAAAGTTTGGTCACACCTGACTGGATGTTTGCATAAATTAGCAAGCTGAGGTTGTTGAGCTGAACTGAAAAAGTGAAGTTTTCAGTCAAAAATCACTGACTTATCACAGAAAAACAGATAGTAAAACAGTAACCATACTCATTAGCTTAATAAATATAGACTGCAGCATATTTATTTTCTCAACATTTTCTCAAAAAATTCACTGTATTACCTCAGAAAAACTGGAAATAAAGTCTTAGCCATGCTTATTAGCTCATCAGTTCCAATGTCTGTATTCATCCTTATGTTAATTATGTTATTGTAGAGAAATCTTATTCCAACACACTCTTATACATGTATGTCTTATATGCAGCACATTTGGATCCATCTGACTGAATGTGTGTATAAATTAGTAGACTGAGATTGTTGGAATGACCTGGACATTGTTAATCAGAATGTACTATATTAACAAAGAATAAAAGAAAATACTTAGCCACTCCCATTAGTTTATGAATATAGATTCCAACATGTTCTAGTGTATGCGTGCCTTTTATCCAGTATCAGTAGAAATGGACAGCGCTGACTGAATGTATGCAATAATTAATAAGCTGAGGTTATTGAACTGAAATAGACCTGTAGTTTTCATGATATAAATATAGGTGGTCTAACAGACAATTTTAATGCATTTTTACCAATTAAAACATCAAATGTGTTGTTTAACGTACAAATAATAATTCCATGCACTGCATGATTAAAAATTCCTAAAATAAAAATGCAAAAAGAAGCATTATCAAAGCTTTTGGTTTGTTTTTTTGGTTCATTTAGGAATAAAATACAAACATCAACTCTCTTATTTTGAGCTTGTTTTCGTGGCTTCAGAGTTATGGGATACTCTGTGCTTCCAGAGTAGGTTTAATTCATGTTCAAACTGTGTCTGCATGCAATTTTTTGTGTCTAAACTGCAGGATTCTGTGTGTTTATAGCCCATGTGTCAAACACAGAGCTCGCGGGCCTGCACAATCCTATCCGGACCAAATTTATTTTAATTTAAATTTTAATTATTAACATTAGCTCGTTTCACAATGTCCTGCACTACAGTCCCCAGCATGCATTGCAGTGTTATGTGTGCTTAGACTCTTCTACCCCAACAACAATCTACGGGACAGCGGTTACACCTCAATCCTACACAATTCTACACAGTTCCACACCAGTCATATCACCAAACACACTAGCTGCATTTCAACTGTAGTGCAATATAAACTGCTAGTGTTAGCTAAGCAGCTCAGAAATTGAGCCCAAGTCTTAATGAACTTGCAGCAAAGAAAGGATGGCAGGTGTCTAGTTCAAACAAATAGGTAGGTTTAAAAGACCTAGGACATGGAGACAATTAAATTTAGATTATTTCAAGTATTTATGTAATATTTCAAGGTCTACTACAAGTGCCCATATTTTACTGTTGACGTTTTTGTGTATATTGAACAAAAAATGGTAAGTTTTTAGCAAAATGTTATTTAAAAATGAAATAAAACATAGGTGTTCACTGGCCCATGGATTTTTCGAGATTTTTTAATATGGCCCTTTTAGTGGTTGAGTTTGACACCCCTGGTTTAGAGTTTTTTACGGTGGTCTACCGTGCTGAAATCTGGAATCAGTGGCTGTGTCCGAATCTAAAGGCAGCTGGCTTGATGCCTTGCTGCCTGTGCTGTCTCATAAGTCAGGGCCTTAGAAGGCATCATTAGGAGGGTTTCTACCACTGAACCAGTGTCTCTATTTCACTGTATCTGTGCTTGTATTTTTCTGCTGTTTTTTTGGTACTTACACAGAGGAGTATGGGAAACGTAGGCAGTGAAGGATACATCTACGCTGCCTTCAAAAAATGTTATACAAACATCATGTTCGAATATGACTGGGTGTCTTCCTGCCTCACATGAAATGGTGATGAACACGCTCCCTGATGTTTGAGACATTGTTTTGCGATAGTTTTGAGAAGATTTTGGTATAAAATCTAATTTGAATTCATTCCATTCATGTTGGGAGGCCAAAATAAACCAAATAAAGCTTAGATTTTCAGATTTATCCACATTTCACCATCATTAAGATTGCATATAGAACTGAAGAAGACACACATTTATTGGATTTCTGGTGGTTTGGTTGGTAAATAAAATGTTTTTAAATGCAATGCAGTCATAGTCCTTCTGGTTCCATTTCATACCAAACCACTCTGGTCACTTTCTTTACATCTAAATGACTGTATTCTGCAGGCATTTTGAAAAATCTGTGGAATTCCCCTTTCAGGTGTTGTGGTTTGTCCACTCCGGTCTGTTTGACTGGCTGAGAGTGGAGTCAGAGTTAAAGCTGGAGGAAGATGGATTAGCCGAGTTTAGCGCAGTCTGAGCTGCCCTGACACTTCATCTCAGTTTATAGAGACACCTGCAGCTCAGACACAACTCATTCTCCATTACTGCTGACCAGACCAGCTATCACTGAACAGGCGCTGACCCAAGAACAAGCAGACACTTCATCACACCGTCCTTTAAAGGAGCAGTTTGAGGAAAAATTTGTACAGTTTTTGCCCCCTTATTCCAAATACTTGTCTTGTCTGAACATTCAGAGTGGTTTGGTGTGAAGTGGTTCATTGTAGAGACTCAGATTTCTTTACAGTGATGGTGGTAGGAGCATACATATATTCTATTAACACTACTGAAGAACAAAATGCAGAGTGCAACAACTGAATGACCTCCACAGCAGGTGGAAGTTGCATTTTATGGCTACTGTGAAAAGGAGTCTGTAAAAAAAAATACATTTTAAGCCGAAATCTAGTCTCAAAGTGATCATAAAACAGTGTCTCAGTCATCAGGCAGTATATTAATAACCATTTCGTTTAACAACTTCCTGTGAAGGACTTTTTAGAGGTGGACGTCTGGTTCCTATCACCACCGCTGTGAACAGTTCTGAGTTTTGATTCTCTTTCTCTGCAGGTATTCCTGGTAGTGACTACATCAACGCGAACTACATCGATGGCTACCGAAAGCAGAATGCGTACATAGCAACACAGGGCTCTCTGCCGGAGACGTTTGGGGATTTCTGGAGGATGGTGTGGGAGCAGCGCAGTGCCAACATCGTCATGATGACCAAACTGGAGGAGCGCTCCAGGGTAAGCACCTGTTTACTGACCCTCAGTGTGAAAAAATTGCACTTCTAAAAAGCGAGTAACCCAGATTCCTTTAAATTTTAAGCTGGCTGAACATCAAATTGTTACCTGTAAAAAATTATCTATATTTTACATTTTAAAAAAGCTATTTGATGTTTAGTAAGATCTGAATTTATATATTTGGTGTTCAATATACTCAAAAGTTTAAGCTGAAACACTATTTTATTTTATTATTATTATTATTATTTTATTTTTCAATTTCTGACAGATTAAGCTACGTTTTTTATGTTTATTGAAGAGAAACTAAGACTAAATCTCAAATAGCTCTGTACTATGTTGGGTGTAGATGGTATTACACAGTTGTACATGTTGATTTTGAAAGTGAAAATAAGTTAACACATCCTCTATAGGGAACAAACTTAAATATGACATTTTTCTGCACATTTTAGTGCACAATTTCTATATATTTGCTGAGTTGAACACACTAGAAAAGCATAGAATATAAAATGCGCCAAGAACTTGTGTTTAAGTGTAAGTGGGCGCCAAAACTTTTGCACACGACTGTATTTCACGAATGCATTTTTCATTTGTGTTTTAGGTTATTTAATTAGAAGATTTTCACACTGAAAATGCCCTTTAGCAGTCATTTTGTTTGGGCCAGTGATAAAAAGGTTGGCCTTAAAATGTTAATCGTGTAACAATTCATGCGTTTTCTCGATACGTTGTTTATAATTCCTTCTAATGCAGAAGCATCAATTGTAAAAGGGTAATACTGAATACTGAATTGTGTGCATTGGTCAAAAATCGTTTTTAAAGTGGTATGAATCGAAGGATTGTGGTTTATTAACAAAATAGACGTGGTAAATAAATATGTATGATATTTAAACAAGTATATGTGAGTGACTTGAACAGTTCAAAACATTCTGGACGCAAATCACAGAGGAAACACAACATGACAAATTTACAAAGCACTAACCGACAGCTCTGTGTTCTGGTTTTCATTTAATTTTTTAATATTTTTAACACATATCAAAGGGCTCTGTGGTGTTTTTAGTTAATAACCATATAATCCTGAGATGCAGAATGTAGACAAGCGGTATAGAGGCACCCATACTGATATCCTTGCTGTAAATCTTTTAACTTTGTGTCGTCCAATCGTTTTTCCTTTTTTTTGTGTGTGTCATTTTGTCCTCTTCTTTGTTTGTGTCGTGTTGCATTTGGTCTTCAGATGCCTTCATATTTCTTCTCCAAGGCAAGACCCACTGCATCGTGTTTCCACAAGCCGAAATCATTTGGCTTCACTGACACAGTTTTTCATTTATTTCATTTCATTTATTTTCAGTCCTGTTTTGTTTTAGCATGAGCTAGCAGCTTGAGTTGCTTAGCTTTATGCTAGTTGGTTTTAGCAGGAAATGCACTCAGCTCTCGAGCTTTGCGAAGAAGCTAAAATGTAATGTTATAAGCACAGATTCCTATTCATTTTCACTCAATCTCCTTAAACCTAGCAGTACTGTCCTATAGGTATAGCAAATATAGTTTATAGTTAAAAGACAGTTAATAGAACGTCTTGTGCATCTGATAAAGAGATTTAGTTTAGTAAATGTACCGAACCCCACCCACCTTACTTCAAATGTAGTTAATCAGCCAGGATATATTGCCTCCAATGGATACAGCATATGCTACAGCGTATGTTGTGTTTTGTGTGCTGGACAACAGCAATAGAAGTTAATATCTTTGTCTCCACCAAAACCAGCATATGTTGTGCTTTGGATGTTGATATGCTGGTCAAACAGTGTGACTATGCTGGGTGACCAGCTAAACCAGCATAAACCAGTTTAGACTAGCTTAGACCAGCATGGAGTGCGTGCTGGTCTGTGGTGTGTTTCTCAGCAGGGAGCTTATGTGCACCAATTAGCATAGTGCTAACTATGTTGTTAGGTAATCTCTAATAGACTTGCTTATGTGGTTTCCAACACTGCGCAAAATACTGTTGTTATGCTAGCATAGAAAAGTTAGAAATAGCTTAGAAATGCTAGAAGCAGTAGCAGCTAGCTTGATTTTTGTCTATTATTTGCTTGTTTGTTTGGTCCAGAAGCAAAATTTGGACACCAAACCTGTCCTGTCTGATTAGGCACATTTCGGATATGTATTCGGAAATTTTGTAAATTCTATTTTTTTCCCCAAAACTGTTCCTTTAATCAAGTGAACACTGCAGCGTACATTGCAGTCCTCCAGTTAGTGTTGAATACTGTCAGTGTTGGAAAGCTCAAGAAGTTCATTCCAGCAGTTTGTTTAAAAAGGTTGTAAACTGATCTTGTTTTTTTCCTGCCAAGCGCGTTCTTTTACGAGCAGCTGCATTTACGATGAGGAATGAGGAAGAATCCACTCATGCTAATAAATGTGCTATTAGCTTCCTCTCTTATTAACACCTATCATTTTTGTTTTCCATTGAATTAAATGCGTGCTGCTTCATGTTCCTAACCCACACACCCCGACAGGAATGTGAACGCTGGGGGACTTTTTTTTTTCCGTTTTATTACCACGCTGTTTTATTTAATGCAAAACATGTGCTCGCTAGTCCATGAAGAAGCTAGCGTCCGCTGCTAGCGTCTCTCACTTTCTCCTCTTGGCGAGACGGCGGCAGTACTGTAATGGAACAATGTTTTATTAGGCACTCGCTGGGCAACAAAAAGTGTATAATCATAATAAAGCCTGGGCCGTAATGTGATTGGAAAAAAGTGCAGTTAAGTTTGTAATTATAGCATCTGTCAGGCTAATAAATAGCGGCGTAGCCGGAATTCCTCGGCTGGTTTAAACTTCCCACCCCCCCTCTGCTGCTGAGAAATAAGGAGTCAGCAGAAAGCGGAAGGGATGGACAGCGGGTAGCTCTGTCCTTTTGTTCCACTTTTCCTTTCAGAACATCATTCTCAGCCTTGTAGGGAAGGCAAACTTCAAATCAGCCAATGTTGCGGTTCTCCAGTAGAAAGCACCTGACTTTTAAGCTGTTTTAATGCTGTTTAAACCTGTAAGACCCTTTCAAGTCTGACTCTTCTTTATAAATGTATTTGTATTTTACGACAACAAATGCATTACTATTGATATCCCTATTTTTGTCCATATATAACTATTACTGTTTAAATATAAGGGTATATATATCTGTTTTAACAACTGTAGTTAGTTTTAACTACATAATAGTTACTAAACTAACTAAGGAACAAAGTCATACTTTAAAACAGGCCCTACTAAACAACAGCTTAATTATCATAATAGTCTGTTAATAACTGTTAATAAGTCTATGATTGTTACCGTGGTACCATTTGAATTATTAACTATTTGCTTAGTGACCTTTGAGAAATCAATAATTATTTTGAATTGCAGAAAGCTAATGCTTAATTGTCCTTTGTTAATAATGGTTTAATTGTTTGATACATCCATAATTTATAAATGATGTAATTTGAAATACTAAGCATTCACCTAACAGTTCATAATCAATATCACTACTTACTTATTGTCTACATCCTGTGTTAAAATGAGTAGTTATTTACTGTCTTACCACTTTGTGATGCATGAACTTTTCTTTAATGCTTAATCGTTATTAATGGTTTGTAAATACTTCAAGCAATAATAATCGTCCTATCAGGGCTCCAGACATAAGGATAGCTTGAGGAGCCACTGGCTCCTAAAACGAAAAAAATCAGGCACCAAATAATAACATGCAAAAAATAAAGCTGTTCAGCACACCTCAGGTCAGCTCTGTGATTCAGGTATCTCTGCCTTCAACCGTGCCTGATTCTTGTCATGCATATCATCACACGTCTTCGACACATCCAGTCCATTTTTTTCAGTAACAAGATTTGGGAGGTGAATTTTGGTGAAGGGTAGTTCTTCACATGCCATCATGTGCTGAATTGAATTTTAAGTTCTTTGAATTCTTTCTTGGCTTTTTTTGCCTGCACCAGACACTTTGCGGGCTGAGGGAGTTTCCTTAAGAGCATTCTTTGCGAAGATGAAATTGCGTGCATTTTTATTATGCGTTTATGTTGTTTTCAGTCTCTTTTTAAAATGAAATTATGCTAAGAACGTTTTTGAAGCTGTAACTCTTTTTTGCTTTTGAACAGAATTTGCTATTTAGTCTGCATTATGTTATTATACCTGAGCCACGCAAATTCCTGAAGCCAAGAAGTGTTTCTATGCTTGTTGCTTTACCATTTTCTACACACCAATGTTTACTGCAAAAAGCTCAGCTTGGCTCATCTGCTTTGTCACGTTTTGCCACTTCGGTTGAAATCCCGCGAGCACGCAAGCGCTTTGATTGATAATCCATGTCCATGTGACACTATAACCTTTCAGTTATGTTTTAAGATGAAACATGATAAAATAAAAATAAAAAAGTAATAAAAGCAGAAAATAAAAAAAAATAAATAGTTACCCATGAAAAAAAAAAAATCCATAGTTACTACCTGTCGCCACTATCACTCGCAAACCATTTTAGTTGCAGTCTGGAGCCCTGCCCTGTGCACTTTTATACATTTACAGCACTAATTATTTGTATATCACTAAGTTAACAGTTAATAATTCACTTATTAATGCATAGGTATCAATTATATAATTATCAGTTGTCAATTATAGACTGTGAGATAATGGTGAAGTTGCTGTTTATAGGGGTCTGTTATTATAAAGTGTTACCAACACTATTAAGTTAAACCAACTATTATGTATTTAGGTGAAGGAATTATAAAACTAATTAATATTAATATAATTGTTGATTTATTACTTTAAATGTTATTATTTAAATGTAATGATATTGTGTCTGTTATAACAACTACTATTGTAGTTATAACAACTAAGTAACTTTTAAATGACACTAATGTGTAGTGAATTTATATATAGTTAATTACATTTTTATTCAGTTTACATTCTGTTCCAACAGATTTGAGTTTGCCTTCCAGTTCTTCTATTTTGTTGTCAAAAAATAACAAAATATAAGGGGAAAAAAATGTGGCAGTAGGATGATGGTAAAGGGTATTTTTTCTTTCCGCAAAACAAGAGAAAAACCACAATTTTTATTCAGTTGAAACCATAATGAAATATCTTCTGTTTATTGACAAACACAAACACAGTGGAATAATTGAAAGTTTAGAAGCTGCACTTTTCACAGCTTGTTTCATTGAGCTACAAGTGAGAAACAATTCATGTAAATGTGAGCTTTTAGCCAACCTCTGAGGTAATCGTGTGTGTTTTCAGGTGAAGTGTGACCAGTACTGGCCCACCAGAGGAACAGAAACGTACGGACTGATCCAGGTGACGCTGCTGGACACGGTGGAGCTGGCCACATACTGCGTCAGGACGTTTGCACTCTATAAAGTAAGTCCAGGATAAAGACAGAAACTCCTTCCTCAAACAGAGAAAGGAAAGTGAGCCCGGTGCTCGTCTGTAATGTGATTGTGTCTGTTTATTTTCTGTCTGCTGTAGAACGGCTCCAGTGAGAAGAGAGAAGTGAGGCAGTTCCAGTTTACCGCCTGGCCTGATCATGGGGTCCCTGAGCACCCCACCCCATTTCTGGCCTTTCTACGACGGGTCAAAGCCTGCAATCCACCAGACGCTGGACCCATGGTGGTCCACTGCAGGTCAGTCCACCAAGTCTTTGCACGTGACTGTATCATCCCTGTTGAAACCAAACCTGATATCTCCAGAATAGTAATGGTAAAACATTAATTTTATGTAACATCAGTTTATTCTGGATAATTGTCTTTCTGTATACCTCTGAAGTCGTGTTGTTGTTCTGCCATGCCCATATTAGGTATTCAGTGTCTAAGTAGTTTATCTATATGGGGAAAATGAATGTAAAAATCATACACATCATCTACATACACGCACTGTTCACTGAGATGCATGTTCACAAGGTTTAAAGCATTCAGCGTAAAGATAGCTGCAGTGCAGTAAAACCTACATTTAACCTGAGTTTATGTACATTTCTTGGCTTTTTATTCTACCTTGTACCTCCATTCACTGGCCACTTTATTAGAAACACCAGCCTTGCACTTCCACTCACTGGCCACTTTATTAGAAACACCTACCTTCCACTTACTGGCCACTTTATTGGAAACACTTACCTTGTACTTCCACTCATTGACCACTTTATTAGAAACACAGGCCTTGTACTTCCACTCAGTGGCCACTTTATTAGAAACACCAGCCTTGTATTTCCACTCAGTGGCCACTTTATTAGAAACACTTACCTTATAGGTTTTCTCTGTTTGTAAATGTCAGTCCATCGCGGCAGTTTGTAGATCGGTTTGTGTTTTGTATATATATATACATATATACATATTATATATGTACATTACTATATGTACATGTATGTTATATGTAATTATTATATATAGTTACACATATCGTGTATTTTATACAGATCGTGGTGTGAACAGTAAAAAAGTTTTTTGACTGGAGGAATCAGGAATGAGAGAGTGAATCAGGGCGTGTGAGTTTCTGCTTTAGCCGTGTAGCTCCTTCAACAGCAGCTCTGTGATCCAGCAGCAGCAGGATTAGCCGTGTCACTGCTGTTCTCCTCTCTCTCTCTCTCTCTCTCTCTCTCTGTCTCTCTCTCCCTCTCTTACTCTCTCTGCTCTCTCTTCTTCTCTTTCCCTCCCTCTCTCTCACTCTTTCAGTGCTTTCCAGCTCCCCTCCCTCTTTCTACTGATCTCTCTTTTCTTCTCTATTCCTCTTTCATAATCTTCATCTTTATTCTTTTTTCCCCTTCATCCTTGATTCCTCCAGTTTTATACCACTTCACTGGATCACAATCACTGATCAGCTGATCAAATAATACAAACAAATACAGCAGAAGACAAAGAAAGAGAGGAAGAAGATGGAGGAAAAGAAAGAATAAGAGACAAAGAGTGTGAGGAGAAGGAGGGAAACAGTGAGAGAAAGAGTGAGAGAGGAAGGAAGGATGGAAAGAGTTGGAGAGTGAGAGAGAATGAAAAGAGGGAAGGGGTGAGAGAGAGCAAATGAGAAAGATAGGGGGAAAGAGAGAGTGAAACAAAGAAAGGAGGGCAAGAGTAAGAGAGAGAGAGTGAGACAAAGAAAGGAGGTAAGGAGTTAGAGAGAGTGAAAGAAAAAAAAGAAGGAAAAGAGCAATAGAGAGTGAGAAAAAAGGAGGAAAAGAGAGTGAAAGAAAGGAGGTAAGGAGTTAAAGAGAGCAAGAGAGAAAGTAAAAAGGGAAAGAGTGATAGAAAGTGAGAAAAAATAAGCAACAATGAAAGAGAGAAAATGAGAAAGAAGGGCGAATGGAAAGAAAAAGTGAAGGAGAGAGAAGAGATGGGGTGAGAGAGTGAGAAAAAAAGAAAGGAGTGAATGCAGGAATGAAAGAAAGAAATCAGGGACAGAGTGAGTGTGAGAGAAAGAAAGGAGGGAAAGTGAGAGAGCAAGAGAGACAGAAAGAAGGGCGAGACTGAGACAATGCAGTAAAGAATGAGAAAGTGAGAAGAAAAGGAGATAAAAAGAGAAGAAAGAGAAGAGAAATAATGAGAGAGAGAAAGGGGAAGAAGAGAAAGAGTAAGCAAGAAAGAGTAGGAAAGGGAGAGAGAGAAGTCGAACAAGAGAGAGAGAGAGAAAAGTGAAAGAGAGAGAGGGAGAGAGAGAGAGGAGAATAGATGGCATAACCTTGCATCAGAAAAGTGACAGAGAGAAGAGTGGATTAGTGCAGAATTAAAAGCAGCGCTCACAGAAGTTAATTAGTGCTCCCAGCAGACCCTCTCAATAGAAAACCCTCTCTCTCTCCCTCTCTCTCTCTCTCCCTCTCTCTCTCTCTCTCTCTCTCTCTCTCTCTCTCTCTCTCTCTGAATGCAGGAATTAATGTCATTGGTTGGACGTTTAATTGCTCCGGCCTGTATCAGATAAAGCCTTTAAGTCTCTTTTGAGAGTGTTGTCACAGTCCTTTCAACTGACCATTTTAAGGGGGAGATAAATAAATAAAACACGCTTTTGAAAAAGATATATTTATTTATTTATGAGTCTTTTCTTTCAGCTCTTTTCTGTGGGGCTTTTCCTGCAGAAAGTTTAGCGCGAGGGAGCGGAGGAAGTCGTGGTTGAGGCCGTGCTGGTGTGCGGGGTGGTGTTTGTGTGAGGGGCCGTTGGGGCCGGCAGATTACGAGGCTGTTTATCGGAGTGCATTTGCAAGTCTAAACAAAAGGATGAAGAGAAGAAGAGATTGTTCGGCCTCGTAGTAATTAACCGCAGTCCACCCCCGCAGCTCCGGCTGTGATTAGCTGGACCGTGTGTGTGTGTGTACATATAACTGAACACTCTGGCAAGCTTTCCCTCAACTTTAGACACATTTTGCTGGAGCCAAAATGAAAATACGCCAACGATAATTTAGTTCTCTGAGTCTTGTTGCCATTAAACTGACTGAAAGCCATAAAGATGCTTTACGTAATGCCCGTTTCCTGCAGTAGTGACGGCTGTAACAAAGACATTTCTGATGAAAACCCTCATCTACACTCGTAAACCGCCACACGATCATATGATAAAGTACCAGAGTGTGTTCTGGTTACATTTTGATACATATGTATTATATCATCATATCAAGTTCGCATCAAAAATGTAACCAAACTGCATGTATCAAATATCTCTCTCTTTCATTTTCTTTCTCTCACTACCTTCTCTGTTTCCTGTTCTCTCTTTCCTTTTCTCTTTCTCTGTCTTTGTCTTCCTCTCCCTTTCTCTTTTATCTCTCTTCTATCTCAATCTTTCTCTCTTCCTATTACTCTCTGCCTCTCTGTCTCTCTTTCCCTCTCAGACTCTCTCTTTCTCTCAATCTCTCTCTCTCTTTAACCCCTCTCTGTCTCTATATCTTCTCACTTTCTGTCACTCTCTCTCTTTACCTCTCTGTCTCTCATCTCTCTTTATCTTTTTCTCTCAACCTGTTTCTCTCTCTCAGTGTCTCTCTCTTTCATTTTCTTTCTCGAACTACCTTCCTCGTTTTCTTACCTTTTTCTTCTCTCTCTTTCTATCCTTGTCTTCCTCTCTCTCTCTCTTTTATCTCTCTTCTATCTCTGTCTCTCTCTCTTTCTATCACACTTTCTCTCTCTTTCCCTCTCTGTCTCTCTTTCCCTCTCAATGTCTCTCTCTCTGAGAGTATTTTCTCTGTTGTGCTGCAAAGAGAAAAGAGCATTTACTGCCGTCGCCCCTAACCTGCGGGTTGTCGTGGCAACGGCCGCTCGAAGACGGGGGTATCCAGGCGTTATGGCAACAAATGGGAGAGACGATCCAGTGGCATGATGGGATATTACAGGGGTCAGCGGTTTTTCACCACACTGAGAAGGAGGGAGAGAGGGAGGGAGAGAGAGAGAGAGAGAGAGAGAGATGCAGACAAATAGAAAAAGAGAGAAACACAGAGAAAGGGAGAACAGAGAGAAAGAGATACACAGAGTGAGAGACATTGACAAACAGATAAAGAGAGAGAGAAGGAGAGAGATATATAGGAAGAAGGTATAGAATAGAGAGAACGAAAGAATGGGAGGGAAAGAGAGAGTAACAAGGGAGAGAGAATTAAATTTTTTTGAAAAGCCATCCATTGAAAGGTTCTTGAGGGAACGAAAGGGGTCCTTTTGGTCCCATTTAGCATCTTTATTTTTAAGAGCATTAAAAAAAAAGAATGAGAAAAAATATTTTTATTCTTCCTGGAAAACAGAAATGCCATAAATGATTGTTTGGATTTCTGCCATAGAAGAACCACATGCAGCTTTCAGTAGATGGTTCTTTATGAACTGAATGAGATTTGGTGGGTGTGAAGAACATAATGTAAAGGTTCTAAGCCAATTAGGGTTTATCTAGAAGGTCTCCAAACCTTCACCAGGTAAATCCAGGCTGAGGACCCTTTATTCATGCAGCTGTTTGTAAAAGTAAAAGCACCCCGTGGCGCGTCTGTGTGTCTTTGAGTGGTATTTGTTCAAGGACGCAGGAGAAATGAAGGGTCCTGTTCCGCTGCCAGCGCTAAGTCAAGCGGAGGTGAAACCTGGCCCGAACCGCAGCGCTTAATCGTATAAAAAGTATGCCAGTGATTAAAAGCCCTCGGCCCGGCTCTCCTGGTGAAAATTCGGGTGTTAGCGCACCCCCTGCGCTCCACGTCGGGGCAGTAATGTGGAAATTTGCAGCGCTGCAGTGTTTAAGTGTTTTAATGATGAGTCCTGGCCCCGGCTGCCGTTTTCCCGCCATTATGCCGCGTTAGCGAAGAGCGCTAGTGCTAATCGAACTACGGCTAATTGAAGTCAGCTGCATTGCGTTTTGTGAAAAAAGTTCTGGCCCTCGCTCTTCAAAGTCACAGAGAGAAAAGAGAAGGAGCTTTCATAGTGCGGAGGGTGAAGGAGAGAGTACGCTGTAAAATGGAGAGGAAGAAAGAAAGAAAACAAGTCAAGAGGCCTCGAAGAGTGAAAGAGAAAAGAGGGACAGAGAAAAGAGACAGGTGCAGGAAGGTGGGTGCACCTGTAGTAGAATTACTGCACTGTGGTAATTCTACTACTACTACTACTATTAATAATAATAATAATAATAATATTCATGTAGCACACTTTCATTGAGATTTGCCATCTCAAATCGCATTACATCGTTAATAAATGCCAAAGAACATAAATTTAATTAAATCAAAACAAAATTAAATAAAAAAAAATAAAACAAAAAGGACAGAAAATTCAAATTCAAAGTCAATTTAATATTTAATCACTGATGAAAAACAGAACAGAAAAAAAACAAAGGATAATGAAAAAGAATATTTAAAGATGTTCCTTACAATTTTAGGAAGCCTGTTCCACAACTGTTTAAAAATAAATAAACAAACAAATAAATAGCAAAATATATACATATATAATCACTGAATCACTGCAAATGTAGTTGATTTTGAAATTAAAAACAGCTCAAGATGTTTGTTAATATATGTTCATTCCACAACTGTTAAAACTAACTAACCCTTAGCTAAACAACCAAATAAATACATGAACCAATCAGTAAAATACATTTAAAAAATAAATGAACAGTAAAATGGCAAAAAAAGGCTTTAATCACTGAGTAAAAGCACTGCAAAAAAGATGTTGTAATATGTATTTATGATAGATTATATTATTCATTATGTCTTTTTTGTCATTTAATTATGTATACATTAAACGTAGCTCAAGACGTGTTTTATTCCATTTTATAACTGTCAAAACTAGCTAAATAAATGAATAAAAAAGATCTTATTCATTTTTAGATTAAAAACAGCTCAGTATGTTTCATAAAATATTAGCAAACTCATTTCAACTGTAATAAACAAACAAGCAAACAAATAAATAAATTACAAAAAAAATCACTTAGTAAAAGCTCACCAATTGTTTTATTTTATCTTTTAGAATAAATGTTTTAAAATGATGTCTTAAAAACTGAGGGATCCATAAAGTTGGAAAGCTTATTCCATAGCCTCGCCCCAATGAGCTAAATACTGTGGATTTTTGTGTAAAAGACATACAGTAAAATTAAATACACTGTGCAATACAATGCACTGAAGCTATTAGGGGTGGGAATCTTTAGGCACCTCATGATTCGATTCGATTATGATTCAGAGGGCTGCGATACGATTATAAAACGATTATCGATGCATCTCGATGCATCTTTTTTCTCTATACAGGATTTCTATCTTCCTACTGTCTGAGGACTTGGTAGTTTGAAAGCAAAGTATTTGTAATGGTCCATAATGTAAATGCATTATGGATCATTACAAATACTTTGCTTTAAATATCTAAAATATCTTTTGTTAATAAATCAAATGGAAGTGATGTGGCAAGTGAACTAGAAGGCTCTCATTCAGAGACGCTGCTGCCACTCATCTGTGATAAAATGCGCTGTTACCCTGAAATAAGATCCAGTGGTAATGAGTGTCCACACAGCGCGTTACAGCCATCCTTCCCATTTTCTTTAGTCATTTTATAATTTCGGTTTTAGTCTCGTTGTAGAGGCGGGGGGGTATTTTCGAGACTGGTCGCTGAATCATAACGCGAAAGCCCTGGTTCTTAACGACTAAGAACAGACAGCAGACAGCAGGTCACATAGCCCCGAGGTCTGGCCTCGCCAGTAGCGAACAAAAAAACCGAGATTAAGACGAACATTTGGAGGACTTATTCGCATTTATAAGCAGCACAGTTGGTTAAATCTGCAACCAGAGACTGTCTTTCTCTAAAAAGTTGCGAAAATGAACTCGCTTCTCTTTCGAATTTTCCCGTTCCACCTTAAATGTTGCAGCAGTTACATTCGGCGCCTAAGGCAGAATTTAAGGTGGAACAGGAAAATTAGAACGAGAAGCTGGTGAATGAGAAGCAACTTCAGCCTCGTGAAATAGCCGGATGCTGAGACATTTTACAAGAAACTGCTCTAGTTTTGAAGAAAAGTTTTCTGGCGGAGATGGGAGGAAAGCGGCTGTAGCTAAAGCTTAAAGCAGAGCGGAGTAAATCTGCGCTCTCGTTTATATTGTTTAGTCTATAAAAGGACATTAATACATACTAAGACATTCTGAGCATTAAATGTTGTGGCTCCCAAGGTGGTTTGATTTTTGTTGAAAGGTCAAAATGGCTCTTCTTATCATTTGTGTTGTGACTCCTGATCTAACCTGGCTTTAATGCAGAGGGAACTGGTCGGGGGCGGCACGGTGGCGCAGTGGGTAGCGCTGTCGCCTCACAGCAAGAATAGCCTAGGTTCGATTCCCGGCCGGGTGACCAGGGTCCTTTCTGTGTGGAGTTTGCATGTTCTCCCCGTGTCTGCGTGGGTTTCCTCCGGGTACTCCGGTTTCCTCCCACAGTCCAAAAACATGCAGTCAGGCTGATTGGACATGCTAAAATTGCCCCTAGGTGTGAATGTGTATGTCTGTCTGTCTGCCCTGTGATGGATTGGCGACCTGTGCAGGGTGTATCCTGCCTTCCGCCCAATGACAGCTGGGATAGGCTCCAGCACCCCACCGCGACCCAGAAGGATAAGCGGTTTAGATAATGGATGGATGGATGGAACTGGTCGGATTTCTCACTCATCCTTTTGTGTTTTTGTTATGTGCCGCTGCAGACTGTTCCGGGCGCTGTACTTACCCACTTCCAGTTCAGCCTTTTGCATTCCATCAACATTAAGTTATAAATTAAATATTTAGAAAATCGATTTTTGACATTTGTGAATCAATTCAGAATTGTTCACGTCCGCATCGCGATGCATCTAAAAATCGAGTTTTTCCCGCACCCCTAGAAGCTATACATTTACCTTCTTTTTCTCTGTACCTCTCTCTCTCTTTCTCTCTCTCTCTCGCTCTCTCTCTCTGGCATGTTCTCTCCATCCTGCACCAGTAGATGAATGAGTTTGTTCATCTGCTGGTTAGCAATCACTCAGTGATTATAATGTGTGCTGGCACCGTTTAGCCATTTAGTGATTTGTACACATTTGCCCCAAAGTGTGCACCTGCTGAGGGTCTTTCAGCAGTGCAGATATGAGTCCTGCTGTGCGGCTTGTTCTCTGTCTGATCCTGAAGATGCAACCGGTTGCTTTCACACTGAGAACGAAATGATCCAGTTCACTAACATTAGCATATTTATGCCCTTTTAGAACAGACTCAGTTTATATCACAGTACCTACATTTAGAGTGAGATATTCATTCAACCTAATGAGAAACTGTAGAACAGACTCAGTTTATATCACAATACCTACATTTAGAGTGAGTTATTCATTCAACCTAATGAGAAACTGTAGAACAGACTCAGTTTATATCACAGTACCTACATTTAGAGCGAGTTATTCATTCAACCTAATGAGAAACTGTAGAACACACTCAGTTTATATCACAATACCTACATTTAGAGAGAGTTACTCATTCAACCTAATGCGAAACTGTAGAACAGACTCAGTTTTTATCACAATATATATGTTTAGAATGAGTTATTAATTGAGATATTAATATATGATAAATATTATATATGTTGGTGTAATGTCATACTGTTAGGATAGGTCAGGTAGGGGTTTTTGTTATGTGATCAAGCTAACAGTTCAATGCTGAGCAGTTTGTTATAGTTGTTTCAAGCTTGCCTAGTTTTGATTAGCTACAGCAATGTAGTTCAGATCACTGCCCCTATTGTCAGTCTGCCCAAGGTCAGTTTAATTCAGTTTAACAAGCTGAAAATTGACGTCACATTTTATGTTAATGGTCCCCTATAGATGATCTACAGATACTTAAATTATTAACAAACTTTCTGGTGATATTCAGTTGATTATCAACACCTTTAAGATTAAGGGTTAGGTTTAGAAACAGGTTTAGGTTTTGGGTTGAATTTAAGGTTAGGGTTAGATTTAACTTCAAGTCGAGTTGCATTTAGTAGATTTTTAGCTGAAAAAGTCTGAGCATCTACAAAGCATCTACAGTAGCCCATCAAAATAAAGTGTTACAGACAAGCACGTGCTTTGCGTGCTTTTTCCTGCCCTAACATGTTTCCTCCTTCTCTGTCTGTCTTCTGTGGTGACCTTTGACCTTTGCACAGTGCTGGTGTGGGCCGGACTGGCTGTTTCATCGTGATCGATGCCATGCTGGAGCGGATCAAGCACGAGAAGACAGTGGATATCTACGGCCATGTGACGCTAATGCGCGCACAGAGGAACTACATGGTCCAGACGGAGGATCAGTATGTCTTCATCCACGACGCTCTGCTGGAGGCGGTCACCTGCGGCAACACGGAGGTCCCTGCCCGCAACCTTTACGCCTACATCCAGAAACTCACACAGATCGAGACAGGAGAGAACGTCACGGGCATGGAGCTGGAGTTTAAGGTACGCTAGCAATACAGACATCAGCTTGATACATCATGGTAGCAAAGCAGACACTTTCATGACACAGCAAGAGACACCATCAGATATGATGGATGAAAATACAAGTGGAAGCTCCTCATGGGCAAAGACACTGAGTTCTCACACACTCATGACTTTTTTCCACTTTAAGTAAATTAACTGACTGAGCTCTCCTTTGATTATCGTACATTTTTGGCAGACGCTATCACCATGGCAGCGTTTAAATGTCTGCATGCCGTCATTGTTCGTGCAAAAAGGCATGAAATGACAGTTTTTATCACTGCCAACATGTAAACACGTCATTACCATCCTCCACTGTTTCTCCTGATGCTGAGAACTTGGCTGAGCTGTGCTAGCTCCTATACACTACTTACTTAGTTGGCGAGTAGTAGTAGTTGATTGTGGTAAAGTAGACCAAGTATGCTGCGAAAAAAATACTATAAAGCTGCAATCTGTAACCCTTCACCCTAAACATTTACTCCTAGTGCAGTAGGACTAGGTAGGGTGGACTCAGGAGGACTCTGGGTAATTAGCCTTTAGCTGCTGTGGTATTCCGTCAGTTGTTAAAATAACTAACAATAGCCAGTTAAATGCAAGATAAAAAAGGGTGTTTTGTGTTTATTATTTAAAAAATCTTTTGGTTATGGTAACGAATGAGTCATTTTCTAATGATTATTTATAATGAAGTTGGCTAGTAAATAGTTATCATTCTTACCATCCTTACTCTCTGGCCTTTGTTAGCTGCCTCTCCCTAAATTAAAACACATCTAAAAATCAAATTTACACATTTTCTCCTTAGTTCCCCAAATATAGTCTATCAAGACATGTTTGGTGTCTGAAATCAGCTTCTTTAGTTTTGCACTGGAGATTTGAGGCTAATGTAGCGAACAATTAATGAAGCTTATGTGCATCATGGTTCTAACCATGTGTCTAAATCATCACAAACTTGCCTTAAACACTGTTCAGTAATCTCTATTTATATTTATATTTTAACTTAGAGGAAGTTAGAAGTTTGTCTTGCTAGACCAGTTAACTTCACACAGCCTCATCTGTGTACACCTACAGGCCCGGAGGGTCTCACTGCAGCAGTTTTAGTGTTTTACTTGCTCCAGCGCACCTGATTGAGCAGAACAAATGAGTTGAACCAGGTGTGCATCCCATGGAGACCTGGAGTTTGAGAAGGCTGAGCTTTTGCATTAGCGTTAGCCTCGGGGAGCTGTTGTAATGGTGCGAATACAGTGTTCCCTTAGTTTAGCCATTACTGTCGTTTGCTCACATCTCTTTGCATTAGGAAGATGCATAAAGTTCTCCATACAATTAAACAGGGGGTGGGTGCTTCTCTCAAGCGAGCGCAAGCAAAATCTGAAGCATTAAACAGTCTCTTTTCTGAAGGCAGACGCATTTGCTTCACATGGGACTAAATTACATTGTCAATAAAGCCACTTCGGGTAAAAAACCTTCTAAATTCCCAGATATAAAAAGTCTTTATTTTATTAGTTGATTAAAACGTGTCCAGAGGTGGGTACAAGTATTGTTTCTTTACTCAAGTAGAAGTAAAAATAGTCTGATCTAAATAATTACTTGAGTAAGAGCAAGCATGCACAATAACTCCAAAATGAAATTTAAAGCAGTCAAATCTTCCCCATATAACTGACCATTGAGCAAACCCAAACAATATAATGTACCCAATTACACCCATACAAACGTCAGCATAAGCAGAGCTCATGTTTTCTGCCTTTGTGCAGATAAAATAGACTTTAAATAGATGCTAAATAGCTTTAGAGTTAGAAAAGGCTGCATCCTATGACTATACTAAAGGCTAAATATAATACGAGTGAAATAATGGGACCTCAGACCTCAGCTCAGTATGAAGAAAACAGAGGTTTTGATAGGAAACAGAAAAGAAAACATGCAATAGTGAAGATGTAGAAGTAGTGGAAGCTTTTTCCTACTTAGGTGAGTGATTAACAATGAAGGATCCAGCAAGAAGAAATACGACACAGATTGGCACTCAGCAGAACAAGGAAAATATCTTCAAATTAATCTCCACAAACGAAGATCAGAATCGTCTGTGGTCCTCTCTGTGGTTCTTTATGGATACGAAGCCTGGACTATAAAAAAGCCTGAGAGGAAAAGTATTGATGCTTTTGAGCTTTGGTGCTGGTGAAAACTTCTGAGCGTACCTTGAAAAACAAGGAAAACAGACGGATCCCTGACCAAATCAAGCCTCGCCACTCACTCAAAGCCCAGATAACCAAACTGAAATTCTTATTTTGGACATATTATGAGAAGAACTAATTCAATGTAGGAGACAAGAATGCTGAGAACCAGATACAAGATGGGTAGAGACAGTCAGAGGAATTATGAACAAGCTGTTAAAAAGCCTGAAGACCCAAACAGAAGACAGAACGTTCTGGAGAAACACTATCCATATGGCCAGCAGGAGTGGGAACCGACTTGGCAGCACTAAATAAATAAATAAATAAATAAATAAATAAATAAAGCTGCTTTTGGTCTTTCTGGCTTTCTGTAATTTGGAACACTGATGTGATTGTTGGTTGTGGAAGCTTGTATAGAAAATATATCTTGAATATGAGGCTGGGGTACTCTCCCTCTGCAGAACTGCCCACCCATTCATCATTGCTGGTTTACTGTATTAACACCAAGCAGCCACTTGAGTACGCCTCCTTATCTCTACACTCTTTGTCCATTTTATCAGGTCAGCTTAATGGTAAGTGGACCTGAGGACAGAGTGTAGATACAAGGTCGGTGTACTTAATGAAGAGGCCGGTTGGTATATATGACTGGCTGCATTTGAAACAAAGTGATGTAAAATGTGGCCCTCTTTATGATTGGACAGTAGTGTGGGAATGTGACTAACGGACGAAAAGAGCACCAATCAGGATGAAGTAGGTGTATTGGAATAAATGAACTTGTTCTAGTTCAAAACAAGATTTTTTTTAATGAAAACAGCTCAACAAACCTAATATGCAACTAAGTTACACTGTCAGTAGAGGTATGTTGAGCAAAATCCCTTTAGATTTAGTAATGTACAGTACTGTGCAAAAGTTTCAGGCACCTGAGACAGTTACTACTGATATGATAAGTAGTGCTTTTACATGCTGCTGCTACCAGAACAAAACCTTCTATCTCCATTTTTGACGTTTCCCAGTTTTTGACCTAATTTAAAAATTCCTGTTGCCTTTTACATCATATGTAAATTTCATGATGAATGGACTAAAAAAATGACCCAAAATGACTGAAAAAAGTCTGGTTCCATTGACTTACATTAAAAGTAGAGTATGTTTTTTCCTTCTCCTGTAAAGTTACCATTTTGGATGTACAAGGTTTTGTTCCCACAACAGCGATATGTCACTGTGTTTGTTTGTTGTTGTATTTCCAAATTTCTCCTTGAGGAATTCCAGTATTGAGTCTAGTTATCATTCAGTAACTGGTTTATCTAATCAATACTTCATTTGGTTAAATAAGGATGAAATTTAATAGATCCAGGTGATGGCTGGAGCAATGTACAGTCAGGCCAGCTCACAAGAGATCAGCTACTTTTCTGAACATGTGAAATTCGTGTTACTTTTGGCTGTATTTGTTTTCATTATATCTAACGTTTTTGCAAGCAGAAACATACTTATTGCCAAGATAAATGTGCTTTAGTGCATAAGACTTTTGCACAGTTCAGTATATCTTCATTTCTCAAATACATATCTTCATTTTTGCTGCACCAGCCGTGGATTGAAACTTGTCTCAGTGCCCTCTGGTACTAAGCAATAAAATCATCCATAGCAGCACGTAGTTTTTAACGTTTCTGATTGCACAGCACGCTCGGCCTGCTGACATTTATCACACCTACACAGCTTACATTCACATAACTGAATCAGAACTGCTTCAGCTTTCAAATCTCTTCAGCCAGCACCAACACTCTGTCAAGGCAACTTTTGATTGAAGACGAAAACTGCGGGAATAAACCTTCCAAAACGTACACGATCAATTCACGTCAAATATTAACAGATAGGCTGCTGCAGCCGTCGCCGCCTTTGGCTCCTCACAGTCACTGAGGTAGCGGAAGAGAAAAAAGAAAGAAAAAAAGGAAGCGTCTGTGGCCCCAGGAAGCGCTGTTTTACTGTTTCTCTTCATGTCATTCCACTCGGCTACATTTTTACAGCAGCTGCAGCCTCTCTCTGAAACAAAAGCAGGAGAAATCAATTCAGAGAGGCTCAGAAGGTGATGGAGTATCACTGCTTGAATAAGGAACCTCCAGGCTTTTTCTGGGCCTTTTCTGTGTTCTTTTTTCTCAGTCTTTCTTTTTATATTGTTCTGGACATTTTTGTTTTTTATTGCATTTTTTGTTTTCTGAATCTTTTCTGTTCTTCATTCTGGGTTGTTTCTGTATTTTAAAAGACTTGTTTTAATTTTCTGAGACTTTTGTTTCTCAGCATTTTCTTTTATTTTTTTTCTGCATTCTTTTCTGTATCCATCTTGACGTTCCTTTTTCTGTATGTTTTCTGGACATTTTCTGTTTCTTTTTTTTCTCTGAACATTTTCTTTTTTTTCTTTATCTTTTCTCTTTACTTATATTTTTCTGAATGTTTTCATCTTTTATCGGTGCCTTTCTTTTTTTTTAATATTTTTTTTTGAGACTTTTTCTTTTTTCTGGGAATTTTCCTCTTCTTCTTCTATGCCTTTAATTTTTTCTGGACATTCTGTCTTTTTTCAGCCTTTTCTTTTTGTTCTGGACATTTTTTTTTGCTTTTTTCTATATCTTTTCTGAAACATTTTTTCTTCTGGACATATTCTGTTTATTAATTTTTAGGGACATTTTCTGTTTTTCTCTGTGCTGGTTTTCTGGACATATTCAGGTATTTTTGGGTCAACCTCTCCTTTTTTACTGGACATTTTCTGTTTTGTTTTCTATACCTTCCCTTTGTTTGTCTGCACATTTTCCATTGTTTTTCAATGCTTTTCTGAGATTTCTGAGTGTTGATTTTTTGCCCTATCACAGACCCTCCTCTGAGGAACGTTTCCAGTTCTCTTTACTGCAGTGGTCTTCAGACTGCTTGGGGCCTGTGGTTTCCTCCAGGCCTTTTACACTGCTGTAATGCAGAAAACCCAAACACTCCAAACCAAAGCCTCTCTCACACAGAGCCTAACCAGTCAACTTTGCTTTCCTCCCCCTTCTCTATTCCTTTATATCTGCTTCTATTTCTGCGTTACGAGATATATTTTCACCCATGCAATTAACAATAAACATAAGTAGGAGAAAGAGAGAAAAGACAGACATAGAACAATAGAGAATAAGTTTGTATTTCACATTGGCATGAATTAATTGGCATGGTTTATTGGCATAGAAGCCACATTATTGCTAAAGCAATTAACAATAGACAAGAGACAGAAATAAAAGACAGAAATAGAACAATAGAAGAAAATATTTGCAAGACTATTATTTAGCATTAGTTAAAGTTTTTAAACCTTTCTTTCTCTCTTTACATCAAACATAATCTTCCCTCCTGACACTAACAGTTCCCTCACTAAGACCGTCAAGCTACCCAAGAATGAATGTCATTTTAAATGAATAAACAGAAACACCAGTGCTTTAGCTGATTAGCGTGTGGAACAGCACTTACCTCAACTCAGCATGCGCTGTATTAGCTATATGTGTTTCTCCCTCTTTAATGTGGTATCATGCGGAGTTTGTTGTGATGTGTCTTGATGTGTCCATCAAGACAACTCGGTGTCTTTTTATCATTTTATATACATCTAATAGAATAATCTTCGTTGTAAGAGGAGCAGCTGTAGACCCTGGAATGAAGACCATACATGTGTACTGCACTGGATTATTAGCAACATTTATCTCAGGAGAGAAAGAAGGAGAATCGAAGAGAGAAGAGAAGAGATGATAACAGGAGAAAAAAAGAGAGGAGAACAAAAGAGAAAGGCAGGGGAGAAAAGAAGAGAAGAGTGTGGGAATGAGATAATTTAAGTCGTCGCCACGACTTAGCATGGCGTGGGAACGAGGTCATGCCTTACTAAGTCATGGCCACGCATTAGGATCTCGTTCCCACGCCTTACTAAGTCGTGGCTACACGTTAGGATCTCGTTCCCACGCCTTACTAAATCGTGGCCATGACTTAATTATCGTGTTCCCTCACCTTACTAAGTCGTGGCTTGCCAAATTATTATTGTTTATACGGGATGTCACCAGCAGGGCTCTGTAGGAAAGAGAAAGAAAAAGAGGGAAAAAGTTAGGACTAAAAAAGAAAGCGAATGGAGGTTGAATGGAGATATTTAAGAAAGAAGCAGAAGATAAAGTAGAGGAACTTAGAGGAAAAAACAAAATAATTACTCCAGCGTGATTCTAACCATTTTAAACATTTTCTTTTTTCCTTTATAGCGTTTGGCCAATACGAAAGCCCACACCTCACGCTTCATTAGTGCCAATCTGCCCTGCAACAAGTTCAAGAACCGCCTGGTGAACATCATGCCGTATGAATCCACACGTGTATGTCTTCAGCCAATCAGAGGAGTGGAGGGATCCGACTACATCAACGCCAGCTTCATAGACGGGTACAGGTGGGTAACACAACTAACTGTTAGCAAAACTATTCATTCATGACTGGAGTGGTTGAAAAGGTGCTAGTACATATGCTAGTTAGTGAGCATATGTGCTCGTTAGCGTACATGATCTTCATGAACTCATTACAAAGCCATAATTTTACAAATAGCAGTTGAGGCATCAACTTACAATTCTAGTTTATGCTTTGGCATACTTAGTAACATGCCTTGTGATATGGTTCAGTGACAGTACATATGCTTGGTAATAAGGTTAGCACTAATGTTCAGATTAGCTGCCTAGCAAGCTAACATTACCTTGGTGAACTGGTGCATTAAGTGGTCATGTAAAAGTGACTTTATAAAGTTGTTGCTTTATCCACACCTGGAAAAGTAAAGAATTCTCTAAATTGTTTATGTGACTGTGCACTTTCAACTCTCAGTATTAGCTAAAATAGAGAAGAATATCTGGTAGCACTTTATTTTATGGTACAGTAAGTATGTAGTATGTATCTGGTAAATATGTAGTACTTGCAAGTAGTGCATACTTTGCAAGTTGAGTAGTTAAGTACAGAGTAACTAATGTGAGAAATGGAAGGTATATTTCAGCATTAACCACTAAGAAGTTGCAAAAGGGTGATTCCACCACATCTCAAAGATATTCTTTTGGATTCAGATCTGTTGACTGGGAAGGCCATGGAAGAACTCATTGTCATATTCATGAAAACAGTTTAAGATGGCTTTCCCTTTGTGACATGGTGCATTAACATGCTTTAATTAGACATCAGTAAATGAGTAAATTGTGGCAATGAAAGGGTCAACATGGTCAGCAACAATACTCAAACAGGCTGTGGCTCTAAGCGATAATTGATTGTTATGAACAGGCCCAAAATGTGCCAAGAAAACATTTCCCACGTCATTACACCACCTCCACCAGCCTGCACTGTTGACACAAGGCAGGTTGGGTCCATAGATTCATGCTGTGGGCACCAAATTCTGGCGCTACCATCTGTGTGCCTCAGCAGAAATCGAGATTCATCAGTTTTGGTGAGCCTGTGCCCACTGTAGCCTCAGTTTTCTGTTCTTGGCTAACAGAAGTGGAACCTGACATGGTCCTCTGCTGTAGCCCATCCACCTCAAGATCCGAAGTGTTGTGCATTCTGAGATGCTTTTCTGCTCACCACAATTGAACAGAGTGGCTACCTGAGCAATTGTCGCCTTTCTGTCAGGTCAAACCAGTCTGGCCATTCTGCAGTGACCTCTCTCAGCAACACAGCATTTCTGTCCGCAGAGCTGCTGCTTACTGGATGTTTTTTTTTATTGCACCATTCTGACTAAACTCTAGAGACTGTTGTGCATGAAAATCCCAGGAGATCAGCAGTTATAGAAATTCTCACAGCAGCCCATCTGGCACCACTAATCATGCCATGGTCAGAATCACTCAGATCACATTTCTTCCCCCAATCTGATTACCTGAAGCTGCTGGCCTGTATTTGCATGATTTTATGCACTGCACTGCTGCCACATGATTGACTGAATAGATAATTGTATGAATGAGTAGCTGTACCTAGTTGGTGTTCCTAATAAAGTGCTTGGTGAGTGTTAAATACTAGATTCTTACCGTACCATGAAATAAAGTGTAACTGGAGCTGAAGACCGTAACAAGTCAAACTCAAATGAACAAACATTACTCACTACTAACCTCCAAAGGTGCTATTATGCCAGTTAGATGTAAAACAACTCTTGTAGTTTTCTTAAAATTATGTTTCAATTAACGCATTTTCTGCTTATTAAATAGTTATATTTTAGCCTTGTGTTGATCCACAATCTTCATTTGCTCTTTTTTAAGGATAAACACTTTTATATTTCTCCAGGCAACAGAAAGCTTACATTGCAACGCAGGGACCTCTAGCAGAGACCACAGAAGATTTCTGGAGGATGCTGTGGGAGCACAACTCCACCATTGTGGTCATGCTGACCAAGCTCAGAGAGATGGGCAGAGTAAGAGAGATAGCTTATTTATTTGTTTGTTTGTTTGTTTGTTTGTCTTTCTATCTCTCTATCTATCTATCTATCTATGTATCTATCTATGTATCTATCTGTCTATATATTGTTTACCCTTGTATGTAATTACATGATTAATTACACAGATGCACAATGAGTTACACTTCCATTTAATTTATAGGGCAGTAACTTTTCATCAAATTCAAATCATTGTAAAATATTTCCTATTTTACTTTTAAAGACAACTTTGGTATGAATTGACAGCTTAATATTTACACCTTTCAAAGAATTTCTCTGCTTGTTTCAATGAATGAGTGAGAAAGTGTTCATATAAAAGTACAACCTGCTGTTGAAATGGTTAAAATACTTTCAACAATAACATGGAAAGTTTTTCAGAGAGTTTTTCCACTTTTTTAGGAAAAATGCCACCAGTACTGGCCAGCAGAGCGGTCAGCCCGGTACCAGTATTTTGTAGTGGACCCAATGGCCGAGTATAATATGCCTCAGTACATCCTTCGAGAGTTCAAAGTCACGGATGCCAGGGTAAGACTTTCACACAACAAGTACACATGTTAATCTTTTGCACTGTATTTTTGATCTTTTGGCCTTTACCCTCATCTCACACCCCAAATGCAACATATGTGGAAGCGCTCAAGGTTTCAGCTTCTGAATGAAGCACTGAAGTTCTCCATCCCACTTTCACTCCATCCCAAAATGGACAATAGCCTTTCCGATGTCACAGTTTGCATGTTCTGTGAGGAGCAAAGGAGATCTTATTTGCTCTTGCAGACATTCCGCCTGTTTGTTTTGTGCTTCGTTTCCTGTTGAACTGCATCTCCAAAACCTAATCAAACTGAGTTATGGAGTTTCAAGCAGTGAGTGAAAGATCTCCTAAAGTTTTAGCTCCTGAACTCTTTGTTCTTCTTTTTCTTTTCCAATGTGGAAAGCATCCCACACAATACCACATCTGCCATGAGAAACAAAGGAAATTTTGATGTATTCTGCACATCTGCTTTTGTCGCAGCGCGAAGAACGCAGCAAAATTCCAAAAAATACTTTCACGTTCAGTGTGGGTAGTTATTGTGCATCATTTATTTGTGTCATATTCAGTGTGCAATGGCCTTTACAATTAAAATTACAACAGACAGTCCTGCATGATATGCTGTTGTTTTCAGGATACTCGAGGCTACCCTAATCTCATCATTTGATATTTAAATCCACGAATTTCACGAATTTACAGGCTATAAAAAGTTGTCCATTAAGATAGAGTGCTGGAAATTGTTAAGCTAGAATGTCTTTAGGCTGAAAAAACTTTGACGGTGGGATATTTTCTGACTTAGTACCATCAGAGAATATGATTACTGTAAGCATGTTCCTTGATTAGTCTCCTTTTAGTTTCATGCTGGTTGCTAAGAGGTCTTGTAATGTTTTCAATGTTGAATTTTAATGTTTATTATTCTAATTTTTGAAACCTGAATGGCATAAAGGAGATGTCATATAAAAGTCTTTTCCTTTTATTGATTGTTGTTTACTGTAGATTGAAGCCCCCCTGCACTAGTGAAGATGTAATTTGTATAAAACAGCTTTCTAACCATTAATAATCCGAGCATCTCAGAGGATCAGGTCTTCTGTTATTCTGTCACCACATTTTGCTTTGAACAAACACTTTTGGAGATTTCTGCATTTTGAGAACGAAGGCGAGCTTGTCCTGGTGCAGTGTGTGTGCGTGGGGTTAGTAGAGAGTGTGTTTGGGTAAATATTTAGTTTGGGGGGAATTGGAACGTGTCAGTGCAGAAACAAATGCGGCAGCAGGTTTTAATTCCATCAAAGGCTTGCAGAGATAAACGGCACACATTCTCTTCCGTTTGTATTTGGGCTCTACAGAAGGACCTGGATGGCGTAGCTCTACTTATCGAGGCTGTGTGATATCACTTAAGCAACCTGCAACCCTCAGAGCCTCAGTCAAGAGTGCTGCCGACATACGCCACATCAAAGGAATTAGCGTCTAATGCGCTAATACGTTTAGGTGAACAATGAGGGATATCTTTTTGTTAAGCTTTGAGGCATCCTTGTCCTCCGGAGGCTTTTGGACTCCTCTTTGGTTGCATAACTCCGTGATATGTGAGGCAAAAAGCTGGTGCATCGTTTAGCCGAATGGCATTATTGTATATTTGTAAATACCAGTGAAGACTGAAACAGCAACGTTTGGCTGTCCAAATAAGCTACAGAGAAGGTACACAGAAAAAAAGGAGATAAACTTTCCATTTAGCTAGTGTTGTTAATACTGCTACTAAAGATTCCATGTAATGAACTTTTTTCTTTTTTCCATCCAACACATCCGATTAAACTCAATAGGCACATTATAAAGCACTTCATGAGCTGAATCAGGTGTGTTGGAGTGGGCTAAACGTTAAATTGTGCAGTAAATGGAGCCTGAGACTGAGAATCAGAGAGTAGGTTACATTTATTAGGCACTTGCAGTCACTTCGTGAGGATACTAACATTAAGGCAAATCTCTTGTTTAGTTTTTGGAGGTTTAAGTATATCAACACTTTACAAAATGGCAGTTTTACAGGAGAAGGCAAAAACTTTCTTTACTTGTAATGTAGTGAGATTTCATTTTAAGCAATTTTAGAGCATTTCTATTGGTCAATTCATCTGGAGATTTTCACGCAATGGAATAGACAGCTGCCATGCTCAAGTGATGTGGAAAAATAAACATTTTAAAAAGCCCCGGGATGATATGAGGTTTTTGTTATTTTTGATTTTATCATGGATCTTAAAGAGAGGAACATTTGATATACATTGAGTTAATCATGATCACACAGATCAGCTGCCTTCTGATTCAGTATATGCATTGGACAGATTCAACTTTGCTAATGATTGGACTTTCCATTGTGGCACCACTGTAAATGCAACAGTGTCCACTTTAGCCTGGAGATTTCTGCTGGTCTGTAAATTTTGTCTTGTTCTTGTCTGGACTCTGGGGTTTAGGACGGCCAGTCTCGGACAGTCAGGCAGTTCCAGTTCACGGACTGGCCGGAGCAGGGAGTGCCCAAATCGGGAGAGGGGTTCATCGACTTCATCGGACAGGTGCATAAAACGAAAGAGCAGTTTGGTCAGGACGGGCCCATCTCGGTACACTGCAGGTACGGAAACACAGCAGACCCACTTATCTAACTTTTACTAAGACATTTACCAGCTCAATTAATGGGGTCCTCGATTGTCCAAATGACTCAATTAGATAGATTTTACAGGTTACAAATGAATGAAATGCAGATATTTATATTATTATATATTTATATTTTTTTGCAGTAACCCAGCATCGCCTAAATATTCTGCTCTTCTGGAGTACAACCTATCATTATGCATCCATAATTAATATCCTTGTGATAAACCGTGCTTCATGGAAGTACTGAAGTATCCCCGTTTCTCTCTCTCCCTCTCTCAGTGCGGGTGTTGGTAGAACTGGCGTGTTTATCACTCTCAGTATTGTTCTGGAGAGGATGCGCTACGAGGGAGTGGTGGACATCTTCCAGACAGTGAAGATGCTGAGGACACAGCGGCCGGCCATGGTCCAGACGGAGGTGTGTATACTCAAACACGGGAGAAAATAAACAGCTATTTAAAAAACAAACAAATACATCAACACAGAAATAACTGCTTCTGATATAAATTGTCACTGTGTTAACAAAACCTCATATCTCTGAAACTTAACTAGATTTTATTCCAAGTAATTTTGGAGTGTTTCTGTGGGACCATTCATCATGAAGTGTTCATACAGTAAAAGGACAGCTGGTGTTTTCAGATGATGTAAAAAAAGAATTAGAATAAGAACATTGGGGTTTTCATATAACAGTGACAAAACGCCTGAAGGAAAAATATAATATCCAAAAACTATATAAATAAACGTATATGCAGTGTAGCAGGTTGGAAAGAAGAAATATTAGATTACAGAACATGCAGTACTGTGCAGAAGTCAGAGACCACCCTTCATTTATTTCATTTCCACTCAAAACTGCCATAAAGTAAAAGGTATTTATTTTATTATAAGGTATAAATTTTATCATAAGGTATAAATTATGCAGACGTCTTAACAACTATATATAATATCATATTTTTTCAGTATCCAGTGTGTCCACGCTTTACCTTTATTACAGCGTCCGTCTGTTTCAGAAACTCAACTTTACTTTTCAAAGAGATCTGCCGGGATATTCTTCCACACAAGTTTCCTGCACTGTCTGCTACTGTAAAGTAGTGCCAAACACATTCAGTAATGTAACAAAATAAATAAATACAAATTTTATAGGACAAGTAATCCAATATATCATTGCACACCTTGCGGTTATGTGTAACTCTCATGTTTAGATTTTGTGATGGCTAAGATGTAGTTATAGAGCCTTGGTCCTGGATGGAGTGATGAGTTTGGTCTTCGTTGGCCTCACTGTGCTCTCAGAGAAAGACGATAAACAGTTTCACCTCCACATAAGACATGTTGTTAAATTTAATTATACTTATTAGGACTGAACTAATGAGCGTCCACAAAAAACAGCAGGCCTGATAAAAGCATCTCTTAGAAGGAACGTGACTACAAGCGGAGGCCCAAAAAAAGATCGAAAGTTGAAGGTTTTCGCGTATCAGCATTCAGCCATTTCTCCGCCACTGTTCGTTTGTATTGATATCTACAAAGCCCTCAGGTTAGCCATGCAAATTGATTCAGATAAGCAATTTCACAGCCGGGCCGCAAGAAAAAGTGCCCTCTCCACAGTCGATGGGAAAATTGTTTGGCGAGATCAATGCGAGCAGCCCACGTGCCTCTACAGCGCGCCTCTCATGCCCCGCCAAGCGGAATGACGGTGTTTTCCTTTTTTCTTTTGCCCTCCTCCTCCTCTTCTGAGTGCTCAGCGGAGAGAGAGAGAAAAGGCACAAAGCTGGGGAGAGACATTCAGCCATGTTTGCAGCACTCCGCTTTCAAATCTTTGTGTAGTTGTAGAGCTGAAATTACGGTTGCTATGGAGATGAGAGGGATTTATTTTGCCTGATCAGAATGCATTGCAATGCAAGACTGTGTCCAAATGGCAGTTCAGGTGTTGGATTTGTTGCCGTTTAAGAAACCAACACGTTCACGGCGCGTCGTCTTTAAACTCGTTGCTAAGGTGTTGCTAGGCCATTGCTACATTATCTAAGGAGGTTGCTAATATGCATGTGTATGTATTCTAGTATATATGTGAATCTGCATGTAATGTCTATGAGTGTCAAGGTGAGAGATGTCCTTTGTGACATTTGTCAAGCCAGCGTAATATGAAATGTTAGATGTGATGAACAGGGAATGATGAACAGAGCTGTAGAAGATTCCAAAATACCTGAAAAAGCTGTAGAACATCAAGAATGAAGTTGTAATAAAAGTTATAATAGATCAATATCCAGAACTTATGACAATTTGACAAGAAAATGCATATAAATAGATAATTGCAGTTTATTATTTATTACTTAATAACCTCTCTGTTCACAGAATTCCTGAAATTTGAATAAAACATCTAAAAATGTTCACTGGTAATAATAATAATAATAATTTGTCATTTTTACATATACATTTGTATATAACTGTTGTGGCAAGTGATTCCACATAGTGTATAACGGATAGTGTATTTATTTTTCACTCTGAAAATACCGGCCAATCATCAGCAGCGTTTGGGAGTTGTTTATTCTATAGTTTGTCCCCATACCCCCAGTATTGAAGATCAGTCAAAACACGTTTGGTGTCTCAAGTTTACTTCTTTAATATTTACACTGGAACTACTAGGCTAATGAAAGCTTATTATTAGCATCAGCAATTAGCATTGTGCTAACAGCACACTGGTCTAATGCTGGTCTGGTGCTAGTGTAGCTGGTCATCCAGCATGATCGTGCTACTGACCACCATGCCAGCATCCAAAACTCAACCTCATATAACATTTTTAGGAGAAGGAAAATGTTCTTAACATTGAATGAAGGTTAATGGAACAAGATATTTTGCAAAGAAACTTTGGGACGTTTTGAATTATAACACATTATAAAGGGCAGATCGTATTTAAACTTACAAAAAATGGAGATGCAAGGTTTTGTTCCATCAGCAACAATATGCTGTTTTTGCTAATGGCGAGTTTTGGCAAAATTCAGGCTTCATGGTGGCTGCTGTGACTGTTTTTCAGTTATTCAAGTACTTGAGTCCATTTTTATGTACAAAAGTGTGTCATACAGTGTCAGAAACCACAGATCAAGTCTATTAGAAATTACTTAACAACTCCACACAGTTTGAGGCTGGAATGTGATGATTTAGGCACAGTTAGCACCGTGCTAATTGCCCTACGTGAGCTCCTGTTAGCTGTTGGCTACATTAGCCTCGAATCTCCAGTGCTAAAACTAAAGAAGGAAACTTCAGACACCAAACATGTTTCGGTTGATGGACTACATTCAAGGTAAGTGGGGCTGTGTACATTTATTGGCTAAACCTTCGCTATATGGATACAATGTTAGGCTAGGACCCACAAGTCAAACTCATTCATGCATTCTCTATGTCTCTCTCTCTCTCTCTCTCTTTGTCTGTCTCTTCCTGTCTCTCACTCAGGATCAGTACCAGTTCTGCTACCGAGCAGGCTTGGAGTATCTTGGGAGTTTTGATCACTATGCAACGTAAAGAGTCCTCTTCCCCTCGAGGAATGCGGAAGGCCCTTGGACATCCAGAGGTCATTTCTTCTGAGCCATAAAAATTCCTGCTTGTGAAAAGTACTTCTTAAACTCCTAGTCCAAGACTTTGATTAATTTGTTGGGTGTGAAAAAAAAACAATAAATAACAGTATGACACAAAAAAAGAAAATGAAACGGAAGACAAAAAATTCCATGTGGACCAAGACAAAACCCAGCCCCACCCCCTCAAAAATCTGATCAATTCAAAGCGGATGCGTATATCCGGACTGTTGGAGCATCATGTGGAATTTACCGTTTCTTCTCTTGCTTTGAGGATACGTCTCAGATTCACGAACATGAATTCTAAAAGAAAATTGAAAAAAAAAAGATAAAAAATAAGAACATGTACTGCATCAAACGAACAGAGACGTTGCGAGAAGCAGAGGAAGGAAGGCCCTTGGCGCGGCCCGGAAAGTGGATACACATCGCAAAGAGAGATTTTTCCGTTCAACAAGGCGACGGAGATGAGTGAATTCTAGGGAAAAAATATAAATATATATATAAAAAAGTCCATAAGAACAAGAATGGACACATATAATAGTAATAACAATAATAATACCCCTATCTTGTCACAATGTTCGTCCTTCGGTTAGGGGTAACGGGAGGGGGAATGTACAAATACGAGACGAATATTAAAAAAGTTATTGATTTAGTTTTTTAGTACTTTATTACTCAACTGAGCTGTAATTCATTTTGAACTATGTGAATTTATTTTTCCTTTTTTAACAAGGTGATCGCTCAACAACGTTAGTCGACCCCAAGTATTAACTTCGCTCTTTTTTCCATTCTTCTCCTTATTATTATTATTATTAATTTTTTTTTTTACTCTGTAGAGCTGTTCTATCGTGTCTTTATTTTTTTTCTGGCACTTGATGTGGTCCTGTATTAACTCTTACCAAATTTAAACTTTGATACAGGGTCCTTTTTTTTCATATTATTTTTGTCCATGGTCACATACGCAACTATAAACAGTCTATATTTCGGGGACTCCGTGGAATCAAAAGGGGAGGCACAGTATGAAGTTGCTGCTACAGAATATCTTAGTTCTTCCATGTTACAGTGATTTTAACAGACGAGCCTCCGAAACCAGAGAGAGAGAGTAAAAACATACACTATAGATATATAACACTATCTGATAATGTATATAACTATATATAAATGTGGAAATATTTATGAATAAATCAAATTCTGTAATAAATGACCATATGAGTACATATATAAATGATATATAAATATATATATAAAAATACCAGAGAGATGAAATGAAATGATATATGAAAGCTTCCACAATGAGATTTCTGTACTTTTTTGGAGGGAAATGAAGAGATTTTTCACTGGAATGCACATCGGTAGGTTGAAATAAATCGTACTTCAATTCAGTGCATCTTTTCTTGTGCAATAAATAGGTGTATTATAGCTTCGGGGTTGGGGGGCGGGGGGTTATGTGGAAACCTTTGTAACTCATGGCATTGTTGTTCGATGGCAGAGCGAAGTGTCGCCGGCAGTATTTAGCTAGCTCTACTTAGATAGGTCGACGGTTCGTGTAGTGGCGTAGTCATCTTCTCATTGTGTAGGGCAAGGTACAAAGACATCTCGTTCTCAAAAAACAAAAGGCTTTTGAATCGTTCGAATCGGCATAATATTCTACATTTTCATTTTGCATTTAGAGTGCCTTATATTTATGCCTGTTCTTTTTTATAATATTCATTTAACATGTACTGTTTGAGTAGTCCAAGTATTTATCTACGTACCGTTCATTTTACCGTGCATTTTAATTTTACGTTTTTTCATTATATGAAATTATATATGCAACTGAGTACAAGTCCATCGTTCCTGTTTTATTTTCGGAGGCCTTACCGTGGCTCAGTGACGAGAGAGAAAGGAGTGAAAAAAATAAAGAGGAATGAATTACGCTTACGCTACCGTAGCTATACTACAGCTTCGAAGTCCGATAACGGAACATTTTAAGTAACGTCATTTGGCACAAAACGACACAAACGACAAACATTTACGATGAGCTTCACGACACCTGTCACGCTAATACGACCAAACCGTAGAGGTGGATCCCCCGTCGTCTTTATTTTTCTTCGTAAGAATTCGGGACAGTCTCCAGAGAAAGGAGCGCACAGAATGTGGACCGAAAGGGAACTCACCGAGCCTTACGTTTTGCGAACATGTGAACACATTCACTAAAACTCGCGACAGTCAAATTCGTAGCTAAGGCAGCAACTTTTGGAAAACGAAGCAGGTTAGATTTGTTAATCTCGACAATCTACGTACGTGGTTGCCAGTGGCGGACGCTCGTATTCCGTTATGCGTCGGAAGTTACGACGTGACATCTGAACCTTTTCTTGTTCGGCTCCTGCTCACATTTGTTTTGTTTTTTTCTTTACGTTAAATCGGTGGCTTTGTGGATGTGCATTCCAGGTGCTTTCTTTCCCTTTTTCTTATTTAAAACAGGTTCTTAATTTTACTGTGCGTTTTTATTTGCTGTTATTTTGTTGTTGTTTTTCATCCTTGTGACAACAGTCAAGCTATAAAGTGCTATTATTTAGCTTCATCTAAACATGTCAGCGCCACCTAGTGTCATTACGTACTTTGTTCACGATCTTCAGCAATGTTTGTGCTTTGTACTGGTCTGTGTCTTTTTTTTTTTCGTTTTTGTTTTCCATCCTCGACCTTATTTCAATATGCATGGAAAGCATTGCAGAGGGCCGATGCAGGCCTAGTAGGAAGAATTGCACTTTCTATATCTTTGTACTATGCACTGCCCTATTGATTCTATACCCAATAACGTATTACTTGAAAGCATCTGTAAGAATCTCCTTCAACATTCACTTTGTTGTGTATGTAAATAACACAAACTGGGGGGATACGGTACCGAATTCAAAACAAAAAAAAGACAAAAAAAAGAGTTTGTGGCAAAAAGAGCATCCTTTCTGGCGCCATGGAATCTCCAGCAGGTGACTCAAGAATTTTTTTTTCCCCTTTTCATCCCCTTCATCAGTTTCGTGGCTTCGCCATTCAAGAATGGAGTGTCATAAACAGAAATCAACGTGGTGTTCTCTGCTCTCTCTCTCTCTCTTTCTCTCTCTCTCTCTCTCTCACTCTCTGTCTCTCTCTATCTCACATCTGGATGCATAGACTGAAATTAATTAATTCAATTGTAAAGAGAAAAAAATGGCTTGTTAAAAAGAATCATAAAAATTACCTCTGATTAGTTGTAAGCGTAAACTGTTTTACTTTTTTTGTTTTTCTTTCTTTTTTTTTCTTTCTTTTTTTGTTTTTCCTCTCTGAATGAATGGAGTGCTTTTTATTTTCTTACTTAGGTTATATTGGTGGCGGAAGACGTCTGTGTGACAAGCAGATCTTTGCTGACACAAGTTCCATTTGTTATAAATGAATTCTATTAAAAAATGTAAGTGTTATGAATTATAGCCTCTAGTCTTATTCCGTGGTCTCAGCTGTGAGCCTTACAAGGGTGCTAAAACTTTTGATTTCTGTTGTATTTTTCCAAAAGAACTTCACTCCCAAAAGACTGACTGCAAATAAGCAAATATCTCCGGTCCCATCTGCAGTCTACAAAACAACAAATGAAGCCAAAAATTAATTAATGTTGGAACAAATATTACTTTAAATAGTATTTTATTGCTGGGACATGTTGGTACAGGATTTGTTTATTGGATGTCGTGCCAATCTGAGTCTGGTTTCATAATGAAAATGGAAACCTATTTTTAATCTTATCAGAAGATAAACCTTACAATGGAAAAGAAACAGGATTAGTACAATGACAGCTAAACGTCGATGCATTTTAGTCCTCTAGCATGTAAACATATGTATATGTTAAATATGTATGTCAGCTGTTCATTACATTGTGTGAGCAGTTCATGAATAATGGACCAATAGAAATTGTCCCAAAGTCAAAAAGCACCCTTCATTTAATTATTTATTTCCAGTGAAAATGGCCACTATGTACACCAATATTTTAGTTATATTTGATGGAAAATACAGAGAAGCCTCATCAACTAAACGGAACATTTTTTAGTATTTAGTGTGTCTGGGTCCAGTCTTTGTTTTCACCTGTTGGTCCTATTAATATAAACACATTGTTTTCTCTTAATATGTCAAATTAAGTGGATAAGTAGAAATTGTACACTAAAATCTGCTGAAAACCATTACCATTTTGGAGATACGAGGTTTTCTTCCGACAAAGATATATATACGTATATATGTCTTACATTAACTGACTGCCCGAATGTAAGAACATATAGCTTCTTTAGGTCATTCTGAGTTGAGGACATGGAGAGGCTTTGAGCTTCCTCTAAACGCTGGGAAAATGATTGGGAGTTATCTTAATAGCTCCAGGGGAATTTATCCATGCCTCCTCACATATTTATGCATATACTTTCACTTCTGCAGTGTGATTTACGCACGGATGTGATGGGAACTGTTCCCCGCTTGCTCTGGCTTTGATACACAGGCGTCTGTTCCCTCAGTTTGGGCTGCATGGGTCTACCAAGTCAAACACAGCCTACACAGAAAGAGAGAAAGAGAGATAGAGGGAATGGAAGACAGACTCAGACAGTGGGCGAGAAAAATGTGGTGAAAAGTTCAGAGAGAGAGAGTAAGAGAAAAGTGGAAAGACAGAAGAATGGAGAGAGAGAGAGAGAGAAAGCAGTAACAGCAGCCTGAAGGTTAATATCACTGTCAAACACCCAGTGACCCCACACCTACTGATACAGTGCTCTACCATCTGCTCTCTCTCTTTCTCTCTCTCACTGTCTCTCTAGCTTTATCTTTCTATTTGTCTTTCTTCTGTTTAGCTGCCTTTATTTTTTTTTTTTTATTTCTCTTCCTCTCGTTGATCTCTCTCCCTCTCTCTCCTTTTCTCTTTTCTCTTTTTCTCCTCCACATCAAACTTGTCAAAACATGGCTGTATGGACCTCGCTTTGTGCACTGAGGCACAGTCATGCTGGAACAGGAAGGTCTTTCCCAAGACGTTGTCGCAAAGTTGTAAACATACAATTGTGTAAAATCTCTTTGTTTGCTGTAGCATTAACATCATCCTTCACTGGAACTAAGGGGCGGAGCCCAGAGCCTGGAAAACAGCTCCAGACCATTATCCCTCCTCCACCAAACTTTACTGTTGGCACTATGTGGTCTACCAGAGA